GGTAAGAAAATCCTTGAGAGAGTTTATGAAATAAAATTTAATCCATATTCTGAAAAAATGACAGCCATTCTAATTCATATCAATTAGATGTTTGATTCAGGAACTGAACAGCCCAGACACATTGTGGGGTTTCAGGGGCAGCTTCAAACTTAGTTTAATGCCATGTAGAGGAAATATGAATTTTCTTATCGTCAATGTGCACAAATTAAAAAGTAGGTCTAAAAAACAAGCCCCTGAAAGTGAAACCTCTGAGTTCTTGTTCTTTCCTCAGCTTCCCTGGAGGAAAGTGAAGTCATGATAAGAAAGAACTTTCAGTGAGAGAGGAATAATTTCCTGGCATTCAAAACCCAAACTTGTTGTGCATTGGTTTTGTCTGTAGTGGTCAGGAACACAGACTGAGAGTTTGGATCCTGTGCTCAGGTGCCTGGTGGCAGATCCCTGCACTTTATACTGTGGGGCTGTAGAAAGCTACAGGAAAACATTTAATTAAATCGAATTGCACACTTAAGGCCAAGATAGGGAATAATTATCTGAATTAAATCCCAGCTCCAATTACTACACATGCTCAGAATTTTGCAGTCTTTGTTCTTACTAAAGTGATGTATTTACCAATAAGGTAAAATTTAAAATTGGAGTTCACATGCCGAAAACCTTGGGCAAGAGTTACTGTACCTTTCCCCAACACTAAGGCTGCTGTATGTCCAGCTGCATTTATTCTGTAACTGTTAGACTTAACAGCAAACCTGTAGATGCCACTAAAATACATTCATAGGAGGGATTGGCTTGGATTTTAGTGAGCTGCTTTGATTGACTTCCATACTATGTTGAGAACGAGCTGCTGGTTGTTTTCCACTGAATCTATGACAATGCTTCTTCTCTTCTGTGGCACTATCTGCACAAACCAGGAAACCCCTGTAAGAAAAGAATTTCCCTGTTTTGGAAAACAAACATAGTAGGATATATTGCAATTGTTTTGGCGTGGGCTGCTCACATTCTTAACTACAGTGGCTGAAAAAGAGAGACTCACTCTTCTGCCCCTTTTTGTGATCCCAAGCTGAAGTGTTAACTAAACCAGCATGATAGTAATCTTCTGTCCTCTCCAGCTAACTGCCTGTCATTTCTTTGTTTGTCTTCTGGTGTCTTTGTTAAAAAACCAGAAATATAGCATGGGGGGAAAAGGCAAGCAGCCTCAATAGTCGTCTGACCATGGAAAAATTCTCAGCTGCAAATACAGAAAGGTAGAAATAGCCTCAGTGGATCAGAGCAGCAGTTAACCTAGCTCAGTGTCCAGTTTCCAACAGTGTAAGTGTCTCATGCCTTCAAGACAAAAAATGTTTGGAAGGCAATTATAAAATAGCTTTCACACAACTTTACTCCTAGACACCCTATCAGAATGTCTTTAAAATTACTTTGTTAGTTTTACTTCATAAAAAGAAATTTTATTTGTAGGCAAAAATGCTTATATAAATATAAGTACATGCTAGGATGAAAGTTACAAGTCTCATTAGTCCTGCAAGTCCACACTACACTAGTAGAAAAACAGAACATTTGATTTCAATAAATATAGACCCTAATAATCTGTATGTTTATATCCCCTTTGAAAAAAGATTGTATATCTGTCAGACTTGGTAGAAGACTGTATTAGGTTCTCAATACAGTAAAATACTGATTAAATGAACAGATATATTTATTTTAAAAATAAAGGAGGGTGAACTGATTAAAGAGGGTGAACTGATAATTTAAATAATCAGCTGGGGTTTGGGAGAGCTTATTTGAGTTCTTTACACTGCTGTGGACTTTCTTTTAGACCATGAACAAATCTATTAAGTTTTAGTCTCTCATTTGTAAAATTAGAAGTAGTCTTGCTCCACGAGAGTATAGAGAAAAAGCTCAATTAGAATATTTGCTTTCTGCTTCAGTACTGAAAGAGTAGTTGAAGGACCATGTGGACCCTCAGGACACTTCATGTTTTTATGTCACCAGGTCTTCATTGCACATCATAGGATTCTGTCTCCATATTTTAGGGGAATAGAGCAGAGCTTTTCCAGAGAGAGAGAGTCTAGATCTGTACTATCTAAGAAGAAGGTAGATGGAAGGTGCACCAACTCCACATTTCAGCTTGCCTGCTACATGTACGTGTTTGGGGATCTTTTGCATTTGGTTCCCAAAAATAAAGTAGAATGGGAAAGCATTCCAGTGTCCCATACATACAGTTCAGATTTAACCTACTCATTTACTGAAAATTCTGAAGATTCTCCAGGCTACTTTTAAGGTCCAATAGCACACACAAGTTTGGCTTGCAAATGAATTTTGATTTCTGTTACTCAAACTATTCTAATTCTTGTTGATGTGTGAGGAAAAGACTCCATTTCTATCATTTCACTCTGCCTTTAGCACCATATCATGTAGCATATTTTATGAGAAGAAAACATTTCATAATTTCTACTGTATAATGACCTGTGGAATTGGGAAGAGAGTATAGTGCTTAAATAGATCTTGTTTGAAATACAGGTCCAAAATTGAATGAAACCTGTGGGAGTTGCACTGTTGTCTCAGAACAGTCATTGACTGAGGCCCTTCTATCAAAAGCTATTTCAGTGGGGACTAAAAACAACTGCAGACAAAAAAAAATCTCCCACAGTAATTTTAAATCTCTCCCAGATAGCTCAAAACTATTATCCACTACTGTCAGTTAGTGCAGCAGCCTGTGTAGGCAGAGATACAAACAGCTCATAGTTTTCTGAGCCAAATTCTTTCATGTTGTGAAGGTATTGACTTTACTGAGCCTGCCTGAGGGATGTATTTGGCTCAAAAGTAAAGTTATTTCTGCATTTAGTTAGCAGAAAATGTTTTGATTGTAAAGGCCAGAAATCCAGTCATTGGTTCCTTAGAATGCAAGTATTGCCAGTCAGAGGCACATCTGATCTTGAGCCTTTCTTCTTGGTAGCCAAATGGGAATTACTCCTATTGACTGGGAAGAGAAATAGGTCCTGGAAGCAAAACCATGAATAAGCGTTATATGCCTTTGAACTCATTTTTCCCTTTACTCTGTGCCTTTTCCTTTGTTTTATTCTGTGGAAATATTTTTACTATACTTCTCTCTCTGTTTTAACCTTCACAACTCCCTTGCCATCGTCACTCAACATTATCCAATATTGTATACTTGGGGAAAAAGCTTTTGTGAAATACCAACCTCAAAGTGACCTTGAGTCAAGTGACTTTTTTTTTTGCCTTGTTCAGTGTAGCCACAGCTATTGGAGCAGAAATGTTAGGATCAGATTAATTGTAACAACAGAGGCTTAGCACTGCTTCAGCCTGACCCCAGCTGCCTGCCTTTTGGTCTTGGCTGTAATTTCTCATAGAGCATTTGGCAACACTGGAGATAAATAGTGCTGTATTTTGTTTCCAGGCCCTGACTGTGTTCTCTAACATTGTTGCATGATTATGGCTCTTGGTAAATTAACAGTTCCCACACCTGCACAGTCTCTAATCCATCCTCCTGCACCTTGTTTCATAGCTGGCATTGCAGTGAACTCACAGCTTGGTTACCATAAGGACAGTGTTTGGTTTCTCATTGCTTCAGAGTGGTGAGCCATTGACCTCGTTGGGGATTTCTGTTCAAGGCAGGCTCTTCTGACCACAGGAACATCTTATTCAGACAGACACATCTGAGGGGCATTTCCCAACTTCTGGGTTTCAAAATCTGGCTTCAATTAATATATTTTAGGGCTACAATTTAGTTAGAGGCTTTAAAAGTTCGTAGAGAATGCCTGTGCCGAAGCCTTTGCTGATCTTAACTGGTTTGGTTTTTATAGCTTTCTTGGAACTGAACTAAAGAAAGAATATGTGACTGTACATTTATATGTAAATGTATAAGTACATAAACACAATACTGATAATAATGTGGAAAATATTAAGAACAGCCTTCCAAAGATAATGTAAGTTAATGATTGGACCCCAGCAAATCCATGTAAAGAAGTGCATGTATTCCTTTTTTGTTTTCCAAGGATGCTTCACAAAGAAGGTTCAGTTGCGTAAATGAGGACATTCACTTTGTGGTTTGTAATTTTACATGCCACTTAAGAAAAGTGTTCTCATTTGGCATATTTCAGCTTTAAACCTGTTGAAATTTCAGCACAATTCCTTAAATAGGAAGGGATGCAATCACCCATTAAATTGCTAACTAGTGAGACTATCTCAATTACTTAATTAACTGGATTTCAAACTTAGGTGTTTAAGGCTAATGAATTCTATTCTTTATGAAATTACTTGTGTCTTAACTTCTTACAGATAAACAATTGCTTGCATTTGAACAGATCAGTTATTTTTTAAGCGTGTATGTGTGTTTACAGAATAACAGCCCAGTTCTCCATCAGTGAAACTGAGGCTAACTTAATCCTCACCTCAACGAAGGAATGATTTCCAGTTGAAGGAATTGTTTCTAATCCAATTTAGATTGAGAAAAGTAGTATTTGGGTAGGGAAGAGAATTTTTAAATGATGCCAGGCATATGAAATCCTTTTTGTGTAAGTCTTTGGTAACCATTTAACTGCTTATCACTTCAAAATATCAGGTCCATGAAGACTGCCCAGCTCTGATTGTTTTTACTGCCTGGATTTGGCATCCAAGTATGTTCTGCTGAAATATTAATGAATTCTTTTTTAAAAGGAAACTTATTAAAGACAAAACTCTTCCTGAAATTGTATACACACATACAATGTCTCATTTTTAACCTATAATTTTCCTTTTATTTTATTATTGCAACAAAGTTGTTTGCAAGTGAAAAGAGATATACAGCAAACTTGTATATCTGGTGGTTTTACCTGGAAAGCGGAAGAGGCTTCTCACAGCTGTATTTATGAGCAACCACTCTAGGATGCTTTTTGCAACCAAACATTTCTCCCCAACCCATGTTCTTCTTCCCTGGTTGTTTTGGGTGGGGCTTTTTTGCCATCGCTGGCAATTGCATTTATTTCATACTGTATCCCCTCCTTTCACAGAGACAAGGAAAACCTTGCAGCAGCATCAGAAAACAGGTAATGTTTGCTGTGTTTGATTTACTTCCTGTTAAGAATGTATCTCCACTTCCTTCATATTGTTCTTACTTCAAAAACATGAAATTTATACACTGTTTGAGAAGATGATGAAAGTAGAGGCATCAGTTAAGTGGGTTCATTGGGCATTTCTTTCTCATGCACTGTGATGTGGAACAGGTGGGGGTTGTGTTTCTCAAAACTTATAAACCTGAAAAATAAGAAGTTTTAAATCAAATATTCTTGAAAATGGAGTACTGTCAGTTTATGATATAGTTTTAAGAACAATTTCCATTTTAAACTTTGTCTAGACTATTCAAGGCATTTTTAAAATCTAAATAAGATTATCTTTTAAGAACATTTATATGTCAGATCTTGATTGATACTCAAGGAGTTATGAGGTTCAAAACAGTCCCTCTGTAAGTTCTTTCATGTCAAGTTGTTTTCTCACAAAGGATCTCAGAACATTTTGCAGTTGAGTATAGAAATGTGTTGTTTTCAATTAGCTAATTTTTTAAACCCCCAAGTACTGATACACAGGTATTTCTTGAGTGAATCCGACCAGTTGTTAAATGGAGCAAAGAAAGACTTCTTAGTAGTTAGTCATGAAAAGAATTTTTTGCTACTGCTTTTCTCTTTGTTTTTGATGCCTGCCTCAGTGATATGCAACCACTTTTTATTTCTGGGGTTTTTTTAAGACTTCTTATATTTGAATGAAGGTTGCCTAGTTAATATCTGAGTACAAGATTATTTGTTAATAATGACACAAGTAATGACAACTGTCAGTTGAACAGTTGGGAAATTTTATTTTTATTTTTAAATTAATAATTTAGAAAAGAAGGAAATAAACCCCTTGAATCCTGAATATAAATTAAATTGTAAAGAACAAGCAACACATGTTAGTATTTCACCAGCAGTTTCATTTGTTTAAAACTATTTATAGGACTATGCAGCTGCTTCACTGAAATCTCCTTTTCTTTTAATTACTATTTTATTTTGCCAGGAACAATTCTGATATATGACTGGTGTTATTGTCCTCCTATGTTGCCTTAATCTTGTGTGATCTGTCATACCACAGCCTTTCTCCACCTCCATTACCATCACAGCTCTGCTTATTTTGATATTCATAGCAATATGATTTCCAGATTTAACACAAGGTACCTTTTTTAATTTGTCAAGCCTTTCCTGGTCTTAAGCAGTAATTAACCAATGAACTATCAAGATTACTTCATCTGCATTGTAATTATGATCTCCAGCTCCATCTGTGGCTGGAATTCTGTGTGTTCCTCAAACCCCTGCTATTACCTAGGAAATGCCTCGTTTACAAACACCCTTGTAATCTCTGTCACCCAGGCCTACAGGTACCGCGCATGCACCCCAGTATGTGACCTCGAGTATTTGGCACCCTCCTAAGTCATCCAGCAGGGATGCCAACCCTGCCAATGCTCAGCCAGTGGCCTCCAAGGGCTCTGTGAGGCTTGGAGCAGGTACAAGCCAGGGGGAGGCCGGTGTTGGCCAGAAAGCCCCTCTTGCTTCATCCGGTAACCAAAGGTACACTGTGCCGTGTAACTGCATCACTGACCCGGTTTGGAGCTTTGCAATGGTTTGGAATAACAACCTCTAACTCCTTCAGATGGAAATGCCCATTGCCTCAAAGGCCAAGGTTCCAGTTCTTCCAATTCCGGCAGCTTCTGGTTCCATGTGGATGTTACATTTTCAGTGGCTCTCATAGGATCACACCTACAAAACAGAGACAAGCCATTAAGCATCTTCAGCAGAGAAGCAGCAGCTGATATTTCTGTTTTCAGTGGTTTCCACAAACATTTCCATATTCAAATATTAAATCCTTATGCATTACAGCTTTCTCTAAATATTTTCTCTGGCACTTTTTTCCTACAAATGATGCAATAACAGATATTTTTTCATATCCGTTTTAGTTTTGGTTTTCTATATTTTTGATTCTTTGCAAGTGATCTGTTGGAGGATTAGAAACACAAAAACCTTCATGCATTACATAAAGGAGACTAAGTGCTGTTTTAATCATCCACTCCTTGTTATCGGGGTAGAAAATCTCAGAACTTAGGACTTCACCAAGAGAAAAAAGTATAGATTATACTTATATTTTAAATGTTAGAGTGCATTTCTTGCTGTGTTCTCATTATGGTTGTTAACCATTATTATCTTCTTAACCTCTACTGATCTGTGTTCCTTTTCATGAGTGAAAATCAGCTGAGAAGAGATGTGTGTTTGTTTTCATCCACCTAACTTACTTTTATGTTTGTTACCGCAAATATGAAGATGTTTGATTTTTTCAATGTCTTTTAAAATATAAAGTACTGTAAAGATTTGATGTCTATGAAATTATTGTATTTAAAAACCGACCAACCAACCAAAAAATACTCTATAATATATCATAATGAAGCTGTTGCATTAGATTATCTTTTTTATAAAGCAGCACTCACATTTATCAAATCTTGAAATTCTTCTGTTCTTGAATAACTAAAATTAAAAAATCAGACTGAAGAACTGGAAAGGAGGAGGGGAAAAAACAGTTTGTATTTGACAATTTAGATAAAATTATATAAAATTTATAGTTGCTAAATTATGACCAGTCAAGTCAGTCTTGAGCTCTTTCTATAATCCTGTTTTGGGAATATTATCAACTGCATATAATTTATATAACCAAACCACTCTGATTTTTATGTTTATATCCACTTCATTTATATTTATTCCAATTCCTTGTAATATATGTAATATGTATTATGTAATATAATTAACATATTCTACCATGAAGGAAGGTAAGCAAGTCTCTAACATTTGTTAGAAATAAAATTTGTTTGTATTTCTTTTAAACTTAAAAGGTACTCCAGTATATTTGGTTTTATCTTATTTATATGGGTTCATTCTGCTCAAATCTGTTTCCACACAGGTCCATGTCCACACATGTGGATTAGTTTTTTTTAACTTTCTTTTCAGTATTTATCACTGAATATGTATTTTGATTATTTTGTAGATTGTTACAGTTAAATTGCAATTAATTAAGTTCACTGTTCTCTTCAGAGTATGAAGTCTTGAATCCTCTGAAATCTGTAGTAAATTCCCTTTCACATCAGTGCAGATAGACAAAATGGGTGAAATCCTAATTTGTGTTTGTTTTCAACACATACATTAAGTTCCATTTTTATGTGCAGCATAGTTTCAATCCTTGCGTCTTTGCCAAATCAAAGATATGTAAGTATGTAAGATGAAAACTGTGACTCCACAGCTTTTAATTGGGTAATTCTGGTACCCACTGTGCACAGGGAAAATTTCACAGTGTTGAAATTCAGTACCAGATTAGCTGTGATGGATAATACACAGCTACTCTGTTACACAGGCTGTGAAATTGGTAGTCTGCTAGTTAATTGGAAGAATTTAATTCATTAAATGCTTCGGGATGGAAGAAATCATCTGACTCTCAAATGCATATTACTATGGAAGAACTTTTGCGAAACTGGTGTAAGGATTTAAAAGTCAGAACTGCAAACTGGATGATTATTTTCAGGAACTTCCTTATTATGTGCATAATTGTAGCTGAATCTCCATAAGGCAGAAAATACCAATTTCCTGCTTTTGTTGAGGGCTGCATTCAACTTTGAGGTTTGTGGGTATAACAACCAGAATCTGTTTCAGCTAATCAAACAAGATATTCAGCTGAATTAAGACACCATCCTGTAGACTGTTGAACTCTAGAAGAGGAGGTGAAGGACAGGGGAGATGGGACAGTCCCTTGGAGAACAAGGGGTATCCCAGATTCAGAAATACTAAACACTTGTTCTATGTCCTGAGGAATATAATTTGGCAAATCAGTGCTTCTGAGAGAAGCAAAAGAAAATATGAGATAATTTGCACAATGGATGGTAATTCTGCTTAGAAGAGAAAGCTGAGAGAGAGTTAGAGGGCAAAGGTTGGCTGAAGAAACAGCTGTGGAGCTGTAAGATTTCTTTTGTTATTTGATACTTGGTGTGCTCAGGAAGGAGCATTTTGGATCTTTGTAACTTGAGCAAGAGAATCACTGAATTCCATCACCCTGATAGGAGTAATTTGTAAGAGCACAGAGATGTGACAATATGCTTATGACATAGGTCTGAACGAGTAGACATATATCCATTATGTTTCTAGGCCACTGCTCATGGACAAGACAGCTATGTACAGTGATGCCCTGATTTAAAAAAAAAAACCTGCTTATTTTGCTCCATTTTTCTGTCTTTAAGAGATGAGTAATTCTCAAATCTGAGGGCGGTGATAGAAGACATTAATAGTTCAACAGGTTACTTAAATGGTCACAGGATAAAAGAGTAGATTATTATCATTCATTTCAATATATCTGATGGAATTTATATGAGCTCACAAGACTGTGACAGCTCTTCATAGCCATTTCAGTCCTGGGTGCCACATTTCCTACCACTGGCATCAGTGGGAGCAGGACTGAAGTGCTCTTTAACACCTGGGGTAAACTTCAGTTAAGCAGGAACAACGCTGCATTGCAGTCTGAACTGCACAATGGAAAAGGCTGAACAAATGTCTTTTTTTTTCTTTGCATAATTGTGCTTTTCCCTCAGTAACCCAGCCAGCTACTATGTTTGCAGCTGCAGGTTCAAACATAGTAGGTTTTATGCTCTCCATGTAAATGCACGCCTTCTTAAGACGCTTCTTGTTTTATTTAATTGAACTCTAATTAGTACCCCTGTTGAGCATGCCCCGGTGGCTCCCAGTTCTGCTGCTCCTGCACCACATGCTTCAGCACCTCAGCCTGCTCCTGCTGCTCCAAGCACAGCCAGCCTGATGGCAGCACCAGCCACCACCTCAGTAGTGCAAGAGGCTTTCTCATCCTCCTTCCAAAGGTAATGCTCCATTGTTGTACCCCTCTGGCTTTGGAAATGCTGCATACACATGCTTAGCTTAAGAATGTAGTATGAAAAGCTGTAACCTGGTTTATATGCTTTTATATATTTTGGGGGGGTGGGTATTTTAGTGGTTTTTTTTTTAATGTGAGGTTTTTTTCTTGATGTGGTTTTTTTTCCAATTTTGTGATATGTTGTTCATGTTTGCACAGAATTTGCAAAATAAAACCGCCCTAAAAATAACTTCATTTTCAGAAAGCGAGTCTGGGCTTAAAATTGGAAATGTTTTTATACTACTTATAATAAAACCAAAACAACTCCTCATCTTAGTTGCAGTGAATGAAGATTCTTTTAATAGTGTTTCTGCAGTAGGACAAGAAATGGAAAATTACAAGATGTCATTTACTCACATGATTGAGCTTACTGTGTCTCAGCAGATATCAGTAAAACATGGTGGACACTTGATGATTGACTTGCTCTGTAAGTTAAATCATTCATTTCTATTAGATTTATCTGATCTTTTTTCCTAATGAGAATTAGCCTTTGAGCTGAAGTAAGTTTCAAGGAGATGCATTCCTAACACTTGTAGCACAGTGGGAGTTACAGTTGTATATGAAAAACTGTCAGACAGCTTGTGAGGAAATGTGTGGGATTTCTACAGCTGTCACATTGCAGTCATTTTGGAGATAGTAAGAGTGAGTTTTTTGGTACATAATATTCTTTTATCTTTGGGGTTTGCTACATGAATATTCTGAAAAGATGTCTATTTTAGCATGCTTTTAAAATCCAAGGAAAAACGCACGTCCAGTAATATAAAACACTTATAATTGAGACCTCAGAGGTTTCATGTTTTAGGTATGTATAAATGGAATTGAAAATGTTCTCTTGACTCTACTTGTTAATTAATTTTTCCTAGTTGACTTGCATTATGTGTATATACCAACTAATTAGTTTTTCACTTTAGTCAGTTTTTACCTAGCCATGACCTACCAGAATGCAGTGGTTTTATTCCAGACAGCAAAGGAGGTTTGAAAAAGGTCTTATGCTCAAATTCAGAACTGGCCTGAGAGGCACTTCCACATAAAATCATGATAAGGTTTAAATAATTTTTATCCCTCAGTTGAAACCATAGCATGAAGAAAATGTACCTAGTATCTGCTTCAGACCAAAAAAAAAAAAAAAAGCCTCTACTAAACTAATCATTCCAATTACTTCTGGTTTTGACAGGACAATCTTCTGTCTGGGACTGGGCACAGTAAAATGTTTCTCTTGTATTTAGACTCAAACATCTTCAGATCTTTCAGATAAAAGCATGTATCATTGACAAAAGTCCTGTCCTGTAATACTGCCTTTTTTAATTATTGATAGTCTGGTTTTAAAATGTTTCCACAATGTGTGCATTTTGCCTTGAGTTCTGCAGGAATGTGCTTGGTTGTGCTATTCTGTAAGTCTGCAGATGTGTGCTACAGAAAATCTGTCCCTGGTAACCATGCAGCACTTTTCCTGTATCTGAATCTTGCCAGAGCTTGGTTCTGATGCCATGATTTGTGTCCCTGTTAAATCATTTTGTTCATGCTTTCATGCTTTGATGTGTCTTCTGCAGAGTTCTTGCAGCCCCCAGCTCTCTTTCCCAGCCTAAGCCTTTCCATGGGCCCAAGAACATGTCATTAGCAGCCTCCGCTATTTCATCTGCTATCTCTTCTCAGTCTAGGTACATCTGTAAAGCTCTCTTCTTTTCACCTAATTTGTTTTGATTTTGTATTATGCTTTCTGACATGAGGTTTTCAGTTTCTGAAGGGATTGAATTGGGAGAGAAAAAGCACAATGTGTTTAAAAGAAATTCCTTATCTTCCTTATCTTCTGCATGACAACCCAGCTAGGAAACAGCAACATTTTAGATGTAGGGTATGTGACCACGGGGTCCTCTTGGAACAGAGGTATTTCACTTGGTTGGTTTGTGCTGCTTTTGCCAACCTGAAATGAAAATACTTGCCTAGAAACACTGGGTGAGAATGATGGACCTTTTTTTTCTTGGTGAAAACACAGGATCGCAGGAATCTTTTATCACTAGAGAATGCTGCTGTACTGCCTCACTTCCAAGCCTTTTCACTGCTTTTGTAACACTTTGACAACTAACAGAGAAAGGCAGGTGATTTTAAGACTCATTTGAACACAATTTGAACAGTCTTAAGAAATAATAAAAAACTAAATCAGCAATACATTTGAGATTGTAATTATCCATGTGTGTCTTATCTTTATATTAAAAAATAGTTAGGAATTATCCAAAGGTGATGTTTAAAATTGACAAAGGGCACAAGTTTGAGGGCTTGAGTATAATAAAGGCAAGAAATACAATGGTCTTTCTCAAGAGAATCACAGAACAGTTAAGTGCTTGGCACAGGAATTATTTAATAGCAGTTTGATTGGCTTCACATCACTGAAACCAAAGCAAAAATGAAATAGCTACAGAACAAAACATCAGAAGAGTTTTCAGTTTTAGGATGTGAACATGTCTGTTTCCAGCCATGGGACTTCCATAGGAGAAGTAATCCCAGTATGGAACTGATAAAATATGAGAAATAAAACTGACTGCTGATGAGTGGAGTACACCAATTGTAACTTTAGTTTCAAGAAGCCCCTTCTACTCAGGTAAGGTTCCTTGCTTTCCAAGCAATAATAACTGTGCATATTTGAGTTTGATTAAACACTGGCATGCAAAACCTATTATTTTTCCTGAGCTACAGAAAATACTTGATTTTAGGGTTTCTTTCAGCTGAAGATTGAAATCAGTCAGAAGATGAAACTAAATGGAAGCTTTGGTGACTACTCTGTCCAGACAGAGTACATCTATTCATGTTTCACCATCTACGTCTTAGAACCCATGGAAATCTTTCCTAAGAGTTTGTTTTCATTCCTGCCTTGGAAATCATGGAATCATAGAACGGATTGGGCTGGGAGGGATCTTAAAGATTATCTACTTTCATGAGCAGGGACAAGTTAAGCAACAATTATGCATAATTTACATATAAACTGCTAATAAATTAGTATAAAGATAACCAGTACTTGCTGACACTACTTGCATGTCTTTCTTAGTGCTAATGTAATCCTGTTTTTTGATTGAGCTTTCTTCCATTTCCCTTAAATTTTATATACATTTAATGAGAGAAGGGAAGCAGTGTGAGGCCTTGAAACCATATGAATTCATTTTTAGTTATGTACCAACATGGACTAATCAGTGTGAAACAAAATTTCAAAGAATATAAAAAGAAAGATGACATTGAGATATTGAGGCATTTGAATAGAAAGTAAATTAGTGAATTAGATTGCCATGGACCATTGCTACTTTTCCTGCCCCTTTGAAAGGAAGTGACTTGTCTGGGGAGGCTGTGTCTCCACTCTTGAAAGTTTTCAGAACATCACTGGCTAAAACATGGAGCAACCTGGTCTGACCTCAGAGCTGGCCTTGCTTTCAGCAGGTTAGATCAGATTCTTCCTGAGGCCTCTTCCAACATCAAAGAGTCTGTGAATCTATGAAAAACATCTGTCCATTTCCAAAAGAAACGCTCTAATCACATTCCTAAAACCTCTTGCTGGCACCTGGCCACATTTAAAAGATCTACAGCATATCAACTTTATACACTGCTGCTTTGTCAGTGGATGACACAAGTGTGGTCTGTCATCTGCTTCCCCGTTACCAACAGGCAAATGTTACTGTCTTGGCTTCAGCAGGTCCTGGCACATGAGGGCAAATCAAAGACTTGTAGGACCCATAGAAATTTGGTTCCTTGATAATCAAGTACAAGAAGTGAACTCTGGTTGGTTGGTTGGTTGGTTTTGGATGGCTGTCTTGCATCTGGAGTAGCTTCTTTATCTTGGTGCATTTCTTCCATGTATGTTTTTAAAAGTGTTGTGTATTATAGCTTGTGTATTCAAAGGTAAGGGACTAAAAATGGCTTCTAAATTGATTTATAAATCAAATTTTTGGGCATCTGGTAGTTTTCATTTAGAAATCAAGTAATGCTTTAGCATGCCAAAATACAGACTTAAAAATCCAGTTTTAGCTTGACATATACCAGAAGATTATTGAGCATTTAATATAATTTTATTTAAAAAAAATAATTACACCACTGTTTTACAGGATGGGGATGTCCTCAGGTAGATGAGGCTGAGATTTTATCACCATTATTCCAGTGTTTGATGGTTTTTTCCCTTTTAGATTCTTTAAAAACATCCACCAAGAAAAGGCGGGAGGCTTTCTTGATCAATATCCTTAACTATTTAAATCTGATTTTACATTTTAGAAGATCCTGTTCTATAGTGACTTAGCTTTTGTGAGCATATGCATAACACTTAACATGAGTGAAATCTTCATCATGTTCCTGAAGAGGAATGTTTGAAGTAAATCACTAACCTTTAACAGATTGTGTTACTCTTTTACATCTGCAGTGAAATCTGACTTACTGTTATCTGTTCCACTTACAATCTTACTCAAAAGAAGCAAGCACAGCAGGAGAGTTTTGAATAAGCTTGAAGCTCTTCAGGGATGGGTTATTCCATCTAGAGAATTAAAGCAGGGTGCTCCATGCAACAGCACTCTGGGAATACAAAACCAGGAGAAACAATGGAAAGAGTTAGAATTATGGTTCTAAAAGCCAAGTGTAGCTTCCGATCCAGAGATTTTATCCAAGCACTGTGTCCATGGTAAAGGGAAGAAGAAATCTTCTCCAGAAGTTAGGAAAATAACTGGCATAAGGCAGACTCCTGGTGGTTCTGGGAAATGTGGGCTGTGCCCCTGTGGGGTGGGATGGATGCTCTGTAGCCCTGCAGGAGCTCTGTTCATTCTGAATCCTCTCGTTTCTCAGATCATACATTGTGCAGGCTTTCAAGTACTCCCTGTATTTGCATAAATGACTCATTTATGTTCTGAAATTACACTGCTTCCCCAAGGGGAAAAAAAAAATCTACCTGTTTGCCTAAGACTGTAGCAATGGAAAGGTTCTTCAAGACAAAAGTTGAACACGGTGGGTGGATGTTTCTGCTTCAACTATGCCAGCCTGTCCTTTCCATGGGGTTGTCCAAGCTGCTCACAGGCTGGGGTACTTCCCTGATCTTTGGCCTTTGGTTCATTCAAGATTTGCTTTTCAGATTTGATGCAATGTAAACATGACACTGAGAAAAATCCCTTGTATTTTTTTCTGCTCATAAAAATAATTGGAGTTCCACAATCAAATAGCAAGATCAGATAAGAGTGATTTATGGAGCTCTCAGCTCATTGACTTATGTTATCACTCGTCAGGTGTCACTGTGATTCCCAGCTTAAATAAGAAAACAAAATGTAATGTAATACTCATGTAATTATAAATATGCACATGTTGTTTACTTCAGCATTTAAGAGCTCTTCTTACTCATAGGAAATTCATGGTAGGGAAAGATATCCCAATTTTTTGTGTATGTTTTTTCAAATACCACTTTTGTCTCATTTTAGTTTCAACCGGCATTCTTCCACCTCCATCACCTACCAGTCAAAGCAGAGGTATCAAACTGTTTTGTGCAGCTATTCTACCTTAAAAGCACTTAACAAACCAGTTTATTGCTACTAGTAGGCATCTAGTGAAACGTTAACATAAAAATGATCTGCTTAGAAATATTTACTCTTTCTTTTTCTGACAACTAATAGTTTTCAGAACCAGTATTTAATTTGCTGCCTGTCACCTGCCATTGACTACTACAGATAAATTCAATGAGGTTGCATTCACTGCTTTTTGAGATGCCAGTGCTTCTTGATCCATTAAAGCATCTTTGGTGCTTACAACATCTTTTTATTCTTTCTTAACTTCCTTCTTTCTTGTTTCTTTTTTTATTTTGATTCTTTTAATCACATGCCATTTCCTTTTCTTCAGCAGAAATTTTGATAAATCTTTTCTTTCACTAAACCCTTAATGATGTAGTATAACACTTTATTTCTCTTTGATAAGCTTTCTTATCTTTCTTACTGTATTTAATATGCATCATAATAATGTAAAAGGGTTAAAAGGATTCAGTGCTTCTTTTAATTTTGCTTTGATTTTGGTGGTACTATAAATGTGGGGGGAAGGGGGGTGTTGTTTTGGGTTTTTTTTCAGCTTCATTTCCCTGAACACAAGGAAATCTGTGGTATGGTTTTACTATGCTATTATATTTGGGAAACACTTGAATTTTGAATTACCATTTTTCTTCATGACAGTTTAAGTATTACTAATCTGGTTCAGAACTTCTTTGTTTATTTTCTGCACTAAGAGAGATTTAAATAAGTCTTTCTAACCATTGGATCTGTGCATCTGGGAGTAGAGTTTCCTGACTGGATGACATTTTCAGATTCAGGCAGTGCAACACATAATTTTAAAATCTTTTAACCCACATTGTAAATACTGGGCAATGAGCTGTGTAGTTTAGCCTGAGTATCAGATTTTAAAACAAGGACAATTCTTTAGCTGGTGTTTAGCTGATGGCATTTTGAAAGCTGTGGGTGAAGCCAAAGTGTCCCTGTGCTATGGCAGCAGCAATGGCCTCTGTCCAGTGACCCTGAGCACAATGCCTTCTGAGGCACCTCACAGGAGGTCTCATCAGGAAATAGATGGTAGGAATGGAACCCAGAAAGTTTGAGAGTGCTTAGGACAGCTTTGGCAGTTACAAAGCACAGCAAAGTTCACAACAGAATTTACAGTGAATACAAACCCAGTAAAATAGTTTGTCTTGGAGAGTTGTGTTCACTCGTGGTACAGTGGACCCAAATGCAGGCCTAAGCCCTAGACTAGGTACAGAAATAATTAGCTACAGCCACTGTAGCAATAGCTAAGTTACTAGGTCTTGCTACATAGACAAAATAAGTTAGCCTGAGGCAGAAATGCTATGCAAACTAAATCTATAGTAGAAACACTGTCAGAGCAGCAAAAAGCTACATTGAGGACAGGTTTATTTTGTTCAAAATTAAAAATTGAAAGTTTCCATTCCTTAGAATGTTTCTTACCTGTACTGGATGAAATCTGCTAGGTTTGCCATGTGAGATTATAATGTTTTTTCTCCAGATGGCATCTGTTTCCACTGTTAAATAAAGTAAAGTAAAGATGGACCAATAGTCCGGGAAAGATGGATGCTTCTTTTCATATGCTGACAAATGTTTTCCTCTGGACAAACCCACTTTGGAAATAACTCATTAGCTGTCAGCACAAATAGATAGGGATCTACTTCATAGGGGGAGTCACACTGAAGGGAAAAAACAAGCAAAACTTTTTCCAGGGTGAGTGAGAAGGATGTTCTGTAGTTGAGTAGGTTTTTCCTTCTGCACACATCTCATTATCTGTTGCTTCCCTTCCTTTTACTTCTTTATTCTCTCTTGCTTGCTTTGACTCTGATGCTCTTTTAGCAGTCAGGCTACTGAAGCACAGGCACTACAAACAATCATCCCAAGTAACTGGCAGATAGAAGAGGCATATTTTTTAATCTGTTACTGTAATCAAACTGAAAATCACCATCTAAGCCATAAGATAGAGGAGAAACTCTTTCTTACTGATGTTTGGAATCCTGAGCAAACGTTTTTATTCTAGGAGTGCAAGAAAATGCATCATAATATTGCATATTGTATGGTTTTCTTCTGAAGGATGAATCTGAACAATAGGAAAATTAATGTAAAGTTTTCAGTCTAAATAGGGAAAAGGGTTAGTTTCAGAAAAATTTTTAAATATTACTTCAATATTTTTGAAAATACTATAACAGTATGTAAACACTAATTAGCATTTGTAATAGCAGTAATTATGCTGAACAAGTATATTTTTAAGTCCACATGTAACTCATTGATTTATCTTAGACAAGACCAGGCCTTTTTGTTTGCAGAGGAGCTGAAAACACAAACTTTTTATGCAGCTTTGTGAAGTCTGATCCCTTGTTACTGAGAGTTTCAAATTTATCATATTCCCTCAGCAAGCTATTTTCTGTGATGCCATTACATTCAAACTTGCCATTACTTAAAATCCTTATTTGACTAATTTTCTTTCCAAATAATTGTCCCAGCCTTCCTTAGCAGTGACAAAGACTGATGAATCTCCCAGCATTCTCTCTTGGAGTGCTCTGGATGCTGCCAGTTCTGTTATTTCATGATCAGTAACTTTTGCTGTTTATAAAGCTGTTCACACCTCCATTTTGCTTTTAGAAACACAACCCAGTCATATACACCAATGCCAATTTCTGGAGGCTACAGTGAAAGTCCTGCTCTTTCTGCTGCTTCAAAAACGAGAGTTGTTACTACTGCCAGCATAAAGCCCTCTGTCTACCAGCCAGGTAAGGAGCCCTCAAAGTACTGAAAAGATTCAGGAAAAAAAAATGCTCACACATTTCTTTTGGAAAAAGAAAATGTAGAAAGCACATATTTTGTACACAGATATACCAGAATGTATTTATTCATGTGGGTCTAAATGCTGCTAGTTTTGCCTCAGATTATCTAAAGATGGAGGATTAGTTATATTTGTATTCTACTTCAGAATAAAAATGTGAAACAAACAGAGGGTAAAATAAAAGCAAGGGAAAAGTCTAATAAAAAATATGTAGCCTGATTTTTCAGAAGAAATAAATTTGAAAAATAACACAGTGCATCCAATTAGGAGCCAAGTGACACTACAGAATTGAGAAAATGGCTAAAAAAAAAGAATGCACAGTTCAGGAAGGTGGTAAAATAAGTGGAGTTTGCTTGAGTAGGTTATATTTGCAAAATAGGTAAGACCATATATTTAATTTCTCAAACTTAGGCTTATATTTGAAATAAAGAATGAAGTATTTAAGCACCTCATGATGCTATTCTATTTCCCAGAGGCAGTAACTTAAGGAATATATTTGGTTATTCATTCATGTGGAAAATATGCTCCTTGATATTATCTAAATTCCCTTGGTATTAATGTGTTACAAATGGACTGAGCCTCTAAAACCATTGATGACCAAAATGTGAACCTTCAAACTGAATGAATTAAATGAGACAGCAATATAAGTCTAAAGGCAGTTCTGTTTCAAATTAAGGTTTTTCTGATCTTAGTAAGAGAATTAAAAGTTGATTTATATCTTTGCAGTCAAGTAAACATGAAATGGCCAACAACTCTAACAGTCTTAAGCTCTGTCTTCTGTAATGTTCTATTTCTGGATCTACTGAAATTAAACAAATGTAGGAATTTTAGTTAGACATAAAGCAGACAGACAAATCAATTGATCCTTATATTTGAGACATAAAGGTAGAAAAAATCAAGTCAGAGCTCTCATGAGCTATTTAAGGGTCTCAAAGTAAATAAACCTTCAGCTCCTCCTCACTTGCTTTTGGTTAAGTGCACCAGTGTATACCATGTTCTCACTCAAGGCAAATGCTATTGGTTTTGACTTAAAAAGATGATGACAGCAGATTTATTTCTATCATGCACAAGAAAGCAAACTCTGGCAAGTCAAATTATCTCCTAAATACACTGACTGATGTTAAGCCCTGTGCTCATTTGGGGAAGTATAAGCTCCAGTTCAATATACAAACCTGCCACAGAAATATATCTGCAGCTATTTCCAATTATTGGCTGGATCTGGTAAAGTCAAAGCTGGCTGTTGAATTCTACTTGGAATTGAGGAAAGGCTTTTGTTTTCTCCTGGTTTGGGCATCTTCTTTTCACTTCCTTACATTGCTGATGTTCCTTTGCAATTCCTTATGTTGCTGCTTTTGAGCCTCATTGCCTCTCAATAAAGGCTTAAATAGTTGGCAGAGAAAGAAAAAGTCCTCCTGTACTGTTTAGGAGTTTGTAATTATCCAATAAAGGATTCTATAATGCCTTCATAATTGAATCCTGAAGTGACTCTGGTACAAGAGAGGTTCCAGGCAGAGATTTCAGGGAAGATGTTTGGTTCTTGTGTTGGTACTATGTAAGTGTTATATATTTGATGTAGTAGCACTTCAGAGTGGTTTTGGAGCATGAGCTGTCCTCAGAGACAGTTTCAGAGCAAATGGGCAATTGCCACTTGGGAAGAAATGGAGGAAATAGCATTTGCTGTCATAGATGGGAAAATCAATAGTACTTGGAAACAAACCACTAGGACAGTTAGAAAACTTCCTCATCCAACTTTGCCAATGACTGGCTTCCCTTGGAAATGTGAGGCAGCAACTTCCAGATTAAAACAACAACCAACAGGCTCATATATTCAATACAGAGACTCCTGATCAGTCACTGAGAGGGTTTACAAGGCTATTTTAATGTCCGATTGAAAATAAAACCCAAACAAACTGAAACAAGTCTCAAAATGAAACTGCTTTGTTGAGTATCTGGCTCAGATGGGATTTATCAGGCAGTCTGCACTTTCCCTAACCTAATTCAGGAAATTTTCTGCTGCTAAAGATCTTTTGTTTTTTCCAGTAGAGAAAGCTGGGAACTCTGAAATCTTCTCCCTAGATTTGCTAACCCCTGTTTTAAAGGCTTCTCTTCTGAGCAAGGCCCACTAGATGGCAGAACATGCCTGGGTATTCCTTTCCCGCAGGCATTCCCAGCATAGCCTTTCAGTATCCCAAGCAGCTCCTGCTCCACTTCTGTACCACGAAGTAAGACGATGCCTAAATGCAAGAAAGCAGATCTTTCCTTTTAAATCCCTACGTCCAACTGGCCTACTTGTGTATGCAAAATCGGTCAAGTGTAAAGGCCTGACCTGCTCTTTGAGGAATTGCTAGAGAGATTCCCACAGTTCTGAATTAACTTTATATCGAATCCTAAGCACCTTCAATACTAAAACAGCAGCTTCCACACCATTATTTCATTTTTAGTTCCCATAAATAAGAGTAGTGTCTCCCTATAAAACATCATCTGCTCTGCCATCTACTCTGTACTGTAACAGTATATGGGAAAACTTTGAGATTCAAGGATGTGGCCGCTAAGTGTAGAACAAACCATATCAGTTGTGGTTATTAATTTATTTTGTTACTGATAATAATAAAGAGTAACACTTATGTCATCTACTAACAAAGGGGAAAAAAAAAGAAAAAATGTTCTCACAGTGCAAGTCTGTGTGACCAAAGCATTTGAGACTCTATAAATCTTTGCTTTACTACATCAGTCTTGGTAATGTGCCTTTGTCTGGAGAGAAAATAGCCACAGGCCATAAATGAAGAGCTGAGAGGGAGAATTCCAGCTTTCCCAGAAGCAAGGAATTGGCTTGTTCCTATTCCTGTTAGAGAGATCTCTTCTGCCATTCTCTCAGGACAACAATAATGCCATTCATTCTCTCCTATTCTAAGAGAACATGAGGGCTGAGAGAAACAAGGTGATAGAGGCTAACTTGCTGAATGATTTGAAGTATTCATTTTTTAACAGTTAATGTTCAACTCATAGAATACTGGTATTTTGAGAATATATTTTCTGATATACTGAATCTTAATACTTTTTTAGCAGCAAACAACCCCTTTTTTCTCCTTCTTCTCTAGTGTTGGAAGACTTTTTGAAATACATAAACATTCAAAATGAATATGTATGACAGTAGCTACTAGGACAAAAGAATTGTTCATATAAGCTTAGGGAGGGATGTACTTCTAAGAAAATAAGATAATTCCCTTTTAATAACAATTGCTAAAATCTCAGAGTTAGTGAAATCTTTCTAATATGTTGCAGTGATACTATTTTGAAGCAATAGTAATTGCAGCTTGTTCACAGGATGAAAATGTATTGTAATAAATCAGGCCTGTAAAATTAAATTTTAACAGCTGAAAAGAAAACTTGGAGCAGATGCAAACATCCAGCAATTGTCATTTAGCAGTAATTGCTCTGGTACTTTATTTTAGTAGCTGGGAAAAAAATCCTATTTTGTTGTTTTATTTTGCTTCTCTTTTTTCTGTTTCTTTATTTTACTGCAGCAAATAGAAAAGGAGGAGTGAAAAGAAGTAGAAGGTAGAGAGAATGTAATTATGTGAGCTGAAAGTCACCTTGTTTAATTAGCCTCATAGGTGGAAGCCTTATGAACTCATCAATTAGAGATTAAATATTAACTTCTAATTTTGCCTATCTTAATACCATAATGCATAAATGGCAAGAGCCTCAGGATCTAAAGAGATTGCATATAAACTCTGTTCTGAAATCTTTAAATACTGTTTACCATTTCCAAGTTAAAAAAAAAAGAAGAAGCCTCAAGCTAAGGTGGGATACAGTTTTACGAAGCAGAAACATTGCTGATGTCGTACCATAAGAAATTTTTATCAAGAAAATGCACTAGATTCAACTCTGACCTCAATAAAAAGATCCCAGGGTGATCACAGTGCGTTGATATATATGCAATTTAAGCACTTGCAAATTGCCAATAATCAGTGGAAATTATTATGTGGCAGGGTGTGGGCTGAAGAAGCGGTGTTAAGTCGAACACAAACTTCTCACCACTTAATTATTCAGAAAGATCCATGTTACTTTCAGAACCCTCTTGGCTGAAATACATTTCTTCCTGCAAGCCCCTTAAACCTGTACAAGTTGTATTTGGCTGTGATTTTCTTGGTGCTGGGATACTGTGTGGAATGTTTGCCCAGACTTCTGGAGAACTGGCTTCTGTTCCCAAGCCTGTGCTCTCTCATTTGGGCAAAACACTTCAGCTCTCCAAGCTTCTTTTCAATCATTTGCTTTGTTTTCCTTGCAAAGGGAAACTGCTTTTAGTGCTCCTGTACTTGGCAAAGTGAGGCTGCTTCTTGGGCAGTAACTTCAGTTCTACATAATGCAAGATCTGGCATTTTGAAAGGAGCAGGATAATGGGAAAACTTGTCAGTATGTGCAGGCCCTGGCTCCTGCTTCTTTTAATGTGATAAAACTCCACCCAAGATTAGAGTCTGGTGCACACAAACAGAGACAGACTGCACTGAGGGTTTTATGGGCTAGTCAAAGGGTGGAAGAGAGAAAGGATAATATTCTGGTTTACACACAGGAACTGAGGCGCAAACACTCTCTGCTTTGCTCAGAGTTATACAGGAAGTTTGTGGCAGAGCCAAGAACTGAACTGAGATCAGTCATAACCACAAGTCTGGCCTTCCTCTAAGTGCTGTTGGCTTTATCTTGCTGTTCATGTGAGCTGAACTGGCTCCCTCACTATTGCTTCCAGTGCTCTCTGTTTTCCCTGTGGGAGCTTGTTTTTCTTCAAAAACCTAGGAATAAACCTCCAAATGATACGTAACGGTGACATCTGTAGAACATACTATTTTAATTAATATAATGAGATCAAAAGTTAAGCATAACTTACTGAAATTCTGGGGAATTCTATCTAAAACTTTACTATATTATCTGGCTTTTATATTTTTAACCTGTCTTAAACAGAGTATATGGCAGTCTTTGACATTATCACACAATTGTCATATCCATTCCTTCAAGAAAATGAAGAGATGATCTTGACAGTGGTCTCCATAAAATCTGTAAAAGCCAGGAGGCAATGATTTCTGTAATGCATGTGTATGAGAAGTCAGTGATTGTGCTGATATCCTTGACTTCAACCCAGAATAAATGAGCAACAATGAGATAGGCCATAATTACTATCACCTAAAGCTTTTATTGTATCTGTGTCATGGAGTGCCCTTTGGTAAGTGTTGCTGTATTGACAGTAGAAGAAAAAGCCTTTAAAATCTTTCTTGGTTTCTTTTGGAATACTTCAAACAGCACCAGCACCAGCTCATTCCTACACCCCTGCCAACACGGAGCCTGCGAGTCGCCCCCCCTGGGTAACAGATGACTCCTTTTCCCAGAAATTTGCACCTGGAAAATCCACCACCACCATCACAAAGCACATCCTTCCAAGGGGTGCCCCGGTGCTGTCTCCTACCACAATTCCTGCTTACCCGTCTCCAGTTTCAACTCCTTCCCAGCCCCCTGCCTTAGCCCGGGGAACAGTGCAGAGGGCGGAGCGTTTTCCAGCCAGCAGCCGAACTCCTCTCTGCGGGCACTGCAACAGCATCATTCGGTAAGGGCATGGGCCTTTGAAGAGGGATGAAGCAGAAAATAAAGTATCAGAGAGACTGGTTATTGTACATTAATATACAGTTCCAGAGCCTAAGACTCTGCTAAATTATCCAGCAGGGATGTCTGTTGTCTGCCTCATTAATTTAACATTTCCAGAGCTCATTTTGTTGTTGTGTGGTTCACTTTTTATCACTGCAGCGTTATACATGCTAATTGTTTGGCTCTTGGATGCTGCAACAAATCCCTGCTTGATTTTAAACAGGTTGCTGGTGCTAAGGTAACCCTTTGAAGGAGGTTCGTGCAACTTCATTGGGAGAGTCAGCGGCCTGGGAGCAGAGGGGGGATTGTGGAGAGAAACGGAACAAGGCATCATTTTGGAACAGCAGCCAAATGTAATTGCTGCTTTTGTGTCTGGAGAAAGATAGTGCCTACACTGTATTACCAGTGATTCATAGCATGCCTCTCCCTTCTCTCCCAATTCATTCTGCTGGACCAGTGCCTACTGTTAGCCTGTGCACTGCTCTCCAACTTTAAGTAATCCATGTTTAATGACAGTCTTCCCCGCTAAAAGGAGCTAGTTTGGTGATGTGGAACTGTTGATTATTGCCCTTCATGTATTCTGGAATGGAAATATTCCAGTAATAATCACTATATCTAACTACAATCACCAGAGTCAATCACCAAAATGAATTTAACATGTCTTCCACATAACAAAACAGCAAGTTGTCACCTGATAGTCTGACATTTCTAGAACATGCTGCATGCAGTGCTGTCAGACAGAAAGAAGGTAGGAGACTTTAGGAGTTGTTGTGAGGTGTGGGTGTGTAAGGATGGAAATTTGCCTGTTATTTCATGCTTTCACATAGTAGCATTGTCTTCTGTTGCCTTTGGCCTTTTCCTTTTGTCTTTGCTTCTGCTTACAAAGACCACTTACACCTATGCAGATATGAAAACAATTGATTTTTCCAACAGTTGTTCGTAAATGCAGTGTATGAGATCAAACAATAATGAAATGTTTTAACCAACGTGTTTTGAGTAATGGTCTTGAAAAAGACCACTTCTATTCAGATTATTTTAATATGCACTTCATGGTTCAAGTAGCTCTTTACGTGTGTTCATGGTGTCTGAGAAAGTGGGTTTGCAATCAGGGTCAGCCATTCAACTTTTTTTTCACAATACAAGTAAGATTAAACAAGATTACAAATAAGTTATGATTGTTTCCAGAGGTCCTTTCCTGGTAGCCATGGGTCGCTCTTGGCACCCAGAAGAATTCAATTGTGCTTACTGCAAGACATCCTTGGCTGACATGTGCTTTGTGGAGGAGCAGAACAGTGTGTACTGTGAGCGCTGCTACGAACAGTTCTTTGCACCAACCTGTGCCAGATGCCACACTAAGATTATGGGGGTAAGAGAACAACAGTAACCCTTCCTGCAACTGCCTGGGTCCTGGAAATAGTGAAATAGTTTAGACTGTAAGCAGTGAATGCAGATGTTTTATTATTTCATCCTTTTAAGACTTATTCCCCAGCTTGTTGATTATTTCATAATGAGAAACATATTCTTTTATAATAATTTTTTTCCATCAGAAGTCTTGGATATTTCTGTACCTTATTGAGCTCATGGATGGAATATGTAATCCAGGTACCATCTCTCTGAGTGTAAAATTAGTAATACTTTTTGGATAGGTTTTTACTTTCTGATACACACTATGTTAGTTTTATCTCTCTCTTCTTTATAGTAAGACACTTGAACTGGGTTTTTGTTTCTTACACAGGATTTAGTCAAAATTTCAGTAGAGAAATCAGCGATGATGGGAAGAGGTCCATTGCTCTTGTTTCACCTCACTGTTAGTTGGCAGCACAGCTGTGGACGAATTCTGCTGGTGTCTTATAGTTAAGAAAATACAGAATAATTGCAAAGATCTGAATTCCACAAAGCCAAAAATACATGCCACTTTTGTCTTAAAGGACTAATGTACAAGTAAATGTACAATTTAATTTGCTCTCCACATACCTCAGATGGTGGTGTGGTTGGAGTACCATCAGTAATTTTATCAGTGTGTTTATGCATGCAGTTGTAGTGAATGTATGGCTCAAATGAAGAAGCAAGGAGTCCCCCACTGGTTTTTCACTGCTTAGCTGTCACCTTTTGACATCTGTCTAAATGTTGGCATTACAGATGCTCTTCTCTGCAACTGTCAATTAGGAGTGGTAGCATCAGACATTGATGGTGAAGCTCTGGCTCCAACCAAGTCTTGTTTGCTACTGCAGCAGAAGGAGTAATTTATAGCAGAGTGCTGACTTAACCTACCTAATGAATGCTGGCACAAATCAGTTTCCCATTATGGATTTTCATCAGGAAAATAGCAAAGATGCCAGCTGCCTCTATTCATATTAATAAGATTTCTCAAGTTATTTTTGTGTCTTACCTCACTGAGATTCCTAAATGGATCCAAACCTATTTATCAGCAATAGTTGTTTTGCAAACAGTAACAGAAGTTAATGAATCTCAAATGGTGATTCTCTAATGAGATATATGGCAAATCTAAATTAGACTGTTTTGTCTATTCACTGGATTGAAAGCATGGAAGAGGACTTCAATCCATTTTCTCATAATCAGTGGACATTAAAAACAATCTTTAAAAGACAATCAGAGTCTATGTGTATAATTGGAAACAACATAAAATAGGATCTAGATTCTCAGCTGGTATAAATCAATGCTGTTTCACTGAAGTTAACAAAGTTAATTCACAGCAGTTATGCAGCTGGTCCTTTGAAATCTGGGCTGTTGGACAGAGATACACTGTCCAACATCATCCTGGCCACACATAAGACTGACAAATTAGCAGGTAACTGTGCACCAGAGCCCAGTACAGCAGCTTCCAGGACTTGGAAGACTTCTGTATGACAAAAGAAGGAAGTAGTAATAGAGATTTCTCCATACTGCACAGAAGTAAGAAGCTGATAAAACCTAGATGTACTCAGTTGAGGAGAACATCAGTTGCACAGAATTGGGGGTTTTTTGTGATAAACATGTGGCTTAGAAACAGACATGCAGACTCATTTTTACTAATCATGTAAGTTAAAAGAATCTTTCCTATTTTATTTTTTTCTTTTAGATTTTTACATTAGTTAGTGAATTGCTCTTGTAAGAAGCATAAAGAAATTACTACAGAATCTGGATTATTTTGAAACAACAGACTTAGACCACTTATTCCTGGTCTTAGAAAATTACTCTTTGAAATTTATTTAACAATTCATACTCTTGCATTGAAGAGTTCATACTGGTCATGGAGAAAATAATCAGAATCTTTGTGCAGAATCCCTTCTGCAACAGGGACTGGGCATGTTGATACAAACTGCTGGCTGAACCATGTTGTTTCACTTTGGCAAGTACATTGTTCTAGAAAGCTTGCAGTCCTATTTCCTCTTTCCAGAAGGAGCCAAATTTCTGTCATAATTCTTTCTTTTGAGGAGGGGAAATGGCCGATATAGAAAGGAAGAATTTAGAGCATCTCTGCCCTGTGTTTGTTCTCCAGGAGGAAGTTGCAAGGCTGGCTATTCTGCTGGAGATTTTTGTTTGTTTGTTTGTTTTACAGGAAGTGATGCATGCCCTAAGACAGACTTGGCACACAAGTTGCTTTGTCTGTGCTGCTTGTAAAAAGCCATTTGGGAATAGCCTGTTCCACATGGAGGATGGGGAGCCCTACTGTGAGAAAGGTATGGCAGTCTGGACAGTTCTGCACAGAAATTGTGTGCTTCATGTTCATGGAAGCATGTAAGAATATAGCAGCTGGGGAACAAAATTATATCAGTTCCCCATCCAGCATGGATTTTGTTTCCACATATACAAGTGTTTGGGTCTGTATTTTTCTGCAGTTTATATGAGAGAATGGCAGAGCACTGGTCTTTGCCTCAATGTCCACAATGCCTTCCCTCACTTCTCTCCCTTATGTATTATCATACTTTGCACTTCCTTCCCTACACATTTTCCCCTGTTCCACTCCCCTCCTTGGTAGATGCTGCTCACCAGAAATAAAAAATTAGTCTTCTAGGGCTGCCCACAATCCTTCTGAGTTGCTGGAGCTGTGACCTCTGATGCTGTTGCCTCACCCTAGAATTGTTCAGCCATCACTTATGAAGGGATAGATCTGCACAGATGTGCAGCACATGGTGGTGCAGATTTTGCTTCCTGGCTGCTGCAACAAACAAACTGCTTCTTGCCAGCTAAGAAAGGGAAAGGCCATGTTTTCCCAAAATGGTACTTGCCATGCAAATGAGTTGCCTGACACAGTCAGGAAGGAGGTTAAGGTTTAAGTGGTATATTCCCTCTGTATTCCCCTTGTGCATTCAGTGAGGTCCTGGCCTACTTCTCTCTGGAGATTCCTTTCTTATGGTTATGCAATTCAAATTTTACAAGTCCGAGTAGCTCTTAGTGAAGAAAAAAACCATGCAGCATGACTGACTGGGTTCCTACCCTTTAAAACTGGAGGTTTTGTCAGAACATCAAATACCTCTCATGGATTCCATATTCCTTCGGAATTTCCACTAATATTTCTCAATGTCAAACCTTTCCAAATCACACTTGATAAAGTTAAGATGTATTAATCAGCCACTATGGGGTTTCCATAATGTTCTGTCTTTATGCAAAAAGAACATTAATACAGGCATGGAAACTTATAACATTCCCTTGTCATTAGACTCTTGTACAACCATATTTGTCCTAAGAATACATTCCACATATATTAAAGCTGATTTGAAAGTATTGTGAGCAACACAACTTCAAATTCTATGGATTTTTTGTATGTCTTCTTCTACATTTTTGATTATTAATGTCATAATAATGGGGGGTTCTGGACTGAGTTTGTATTTAAATAATGAAAGAAAATAAGCATAAGTGGGAGTATTTCAGTAAATGTAGTAGGAAACTTAGCAAAAACAATCAAAACATTCATTGTCTGGAAAAGTTCTATTTCTTTTGGACTTAATATGATTATGTTAAGAGTTTGTTCTAAGTTTGCTTTTTGTTTTATTTTAGATTACATTGCTTTGTTCAGCACAAAATGTCATGGCTGTGATTATCCTGTTGAAGCTGGAGATAAATTCATTGAAGCTCTTGGACACACTTGGCATGACACCTGCTTCATTTGTGCTGTAGGTTCTAAATCAAGTACTATCTCATTCCTTTATACTCCTAAATTGTGCAGTAACATCAGAAAACCTGAAAGCAGTAATAGCTAACATATGCTTAAGGATGCAGAGGGATGAAATTTCATTCTTTACTTCCATTTGGAGAAGGATCGAAGTAATTTTCCTTCTCCTCCATAACTTTTACTAGAATTATGGAATTTGACCATCATAAGTGAGTGTTTTCTAATAAAACATCCAGTTTTAGATAGTACATACACCAGTACAAACCACTATTGCTGTTATTCTTTCCAGTGTTTGCCAAATAGAGATAGAGCAAGACTGAAAATAAATTAACACCATACTGAACAGTATAACCATAATCTTACTTACAAAGCAGTGAAGTTTGTATTTCCATGCTGAATGCTTGTTGAAACTTGCAAAAAGAAGTCTGTTTAGAGAGCATGAATAGTAATTAGCATAGGAGTTGGTCAAACTCATCAATCTGTGGTGTGCACATAGCTCTGGAGAGTGGCCATATTCCCACACTCTGCACACAAAGCAGAAAAATCCATATGATAAACAGTACTTTCATCTGGTTCTAATACCACTGAGCAGCTCTGCAGCATATTATTCCTAAAGTAATAATATCTAAAATCTCTAATTAGCTAAAAATAGTATGTGGGCCACACCAAACTGACAGCGACAATTTCTAATGTTTGTTTAAGTCTAAAATTTAGGTAGACTAGTTGAAAGTATAGAAATGTTTATAAATATCTGAAGCTAAACTAGCTTTATAAAAAAGTGTTTTGTGAAAACTGAAGTATTTTGGAAATTTTAACATAGAAAGGAATACTAAACAAGTTTCCTTCACGAGCTAACAGCTCTTAATCACTTATAAATATTGATTACTACAAAGACACTTTCTCTGAATATTTAATGTTATTTTTTTGCTTGTTCATTTATATTAGCTGCCACATTTTCTGTGGAAATGATAGTTTTATTATGTGTTGTTAATATGCAATTCTCACAGTGGGGATCTTTTTAAGGATCTAACTTGATTTCTTTCAGTGGGTTAAATCAATAGCAAATCAATACATGACTCCTAAAGACTACCAAAAAAATCCATGGGCAGAAGAGCAATACATTTACAACTGATAGTCACATCTTTCTCCCTTTTATTTTTCCTTAATTATTCCTGATTGCATTTATTATTAATTTTAGGTGTGCCATGTGAATTTGGAAGGTCAGCCATTCTACTCCAAGAAGGACAAGCCCCTGTGCAAGAAGCATGCCCATGCCATCAATGTTTAGAAGAAGAGTTGGTAGTCAGTAATGCTGGGGTAAAACAGATGACTAACTGGGCAATCATAAAGTTGATAACCATGGCTAGCACTTCTCTTGGTAAAAGCTAGACATTGGTACTTCTCAAGTTTAACTTTATCCTCTTTCATAAATGCAGAACGTGCTTTTTGTGAAGTTCATACCAAAAACTATGAGCAGTCAAACCATGAACTAGTCCATTATTATAGCAACAGTTGGGGGAAATATTGAAATTAACTAAAAACATTATTATAAAAAGAAATGTGCAAATATAGTTTCAAGTTAACTACCCACAGCAGTTTTACTGCTTAGACTACACACTGGTGTTTAAAAACAACTGGAAAAATACTTCTGTATTAAGTCATTTTCTTTCACAGCAAGAATGAGTAAGTGCCATATGTACAGTCATCTGTAGAACCAAAGGCCGTAGCTTTCAAAGGGAAATAAATAGATTAGGGCTTCCTCTAGGAAAAGTGAGTGCTGTTCCGCTATCTGTTGCTACCTCTTAGCATCAGATATTTTAGATTCTTTCCAAATAACAAGTCTGCCTTGAATCCATATGTAGCTGGGAAGCCTAGGTGACCATCCATAACAGTTTGAAAATAAAATGGTTGGGTCAGCCTTGTTGGTGCACTTGGCTTCTAGGTGCACAGAAGATAATTCACTTTCAAATGGTAATGGAAAAGAACAACTGGCTTTCTCCAAATTGCTCATACATTGAATGGAATACAGCTGACTGGAAAGGCCAGCTTTTAATTCAAAACCAGTTTTCCTTTCCTCCTGTGGAAAAAAAAAGAGATTCAATCTTGCTTTGGTTTCTAATTCCCACTGATACCAGAGGGAGATAGGAACCTACATCTGGACCTTCACAATAGTAAACACAAAAGAAACACATCCATCTAGCACATCTAGGTTGTGGGAGATAGCTTGCAAAAATTCCCTCCTCTATCCCACATAAATAGGAAAAAGGCTTTTTTTTTTCCTATAGTAAATGAATGTGTATCAAAAATCCATAAGGCAGCAGGCACATTCTCCTTATTCCTTTCCTTACCTTAAATGCAGTGCATCGTGAATTGTAGCAGTATTTGCCATTGGAAAACAGTAGCTATGTTCCAACAATTAGGATTATCATACAGTCATCTTTTCTAAAAACCATACAGTCATCTATCCTAATAGCTTGAGAACAACTTTCAAGTTGTTCAGACAGTTATTTATAAAACTCTTTTTTCAAATAAGCAATACTTATAGTACTGATAATACTTTTGAATTTTCTAATATCAGTGACTTTTATATGGGAGACAGCAGTTCTGTCTGATGGAGTTAAGATGGAAAGTCTGATCACCATTCAAGCTTTATTAACTCATTTAAGTGAGAATTATGATGTGTGTGTTGACAGCTTGCAGTACTGACAGTTTTGAATTAGTACTTCTGAGGCTGAGGATGCTTTCTGTGGGCCACATGCGGGTGCCATCTGCACCTATTTTACCTTGTGTTCTGAGTAGCAAAAAATTACATAATATTGTCTGTCTTGTCCCTCCCATGGGTTATGGCCATTTCATTTGTGTGTCTTTTAAGGGATGAAAAACTATCTAAAGCTTGGGGAGGAATAAATGAAATTTGGAGCTCTAAAATAAGTGTTAAGTTAGCTGCAGGCAGTCTGCATCTTGGACAAAAATAACAACCTGAACTGCCTGTGGCAGTTTTGACATGTATGACCTGTATTTATTCAGTAGGTATCTTAGTTTTCACTGATCTTAGCAGTGATCTGATCTGAGTTGCTAAAGGGTCAGATTTTTGTATGCATGAATTATTCTAGAACACTAGTACATTATATGCAAAGCCTGTTTCTTGTTTGTTTGTTTGTTTTGGGGTTTTTTCTGTCAGCAAGCAAATTTTCTGTTTTCAGTTGGTGCTGGGCTGGTGTGAATATGGTCCCATAGATTACAAAATCCAATGATCTGGCTCATAATGTTCTCCAGAGGAATAAATCGTAATTATGGAAGTTAAATATTTTTTTCCACTTCTATTTGACTTCATTAAATACATATTCACAACAGTGAGAAAATTCTACATTTCCTTTTCATTTTTCAGTGCCATTCAACAAAATGCTTTTTATTGTTATCTCTTCTTTGAGAGAATTCACATCAGCATACTCTATACTGAGACTGCATTGAAATGATTCTTTAGGCAGATTTGTGTCAGTGTTGGCCACTGACTGGGACTAATCTCTGACTGCAACATCAGAATAGGGAGTCAGGCTCCATGGGAAGGGCTTGTGATGGACACTTCAGGAGAATTTCATGAGGTCCTTCCCCTCTGATCTGCATGTGTTTATTTGTGTGTGTCGCATTCTCCCCTCCACCTCCCCTCAATGTCCCTGTGAGCTTCCACACTGCATGTCAGAGTTGGGTGGGCAGGGAGGCTGGGTAGGGGCAGCAGGATCACTGCGGTCAGGGAGAGGGCTTCAAGTATGAAATTAGGGTACAAGGAGCTCCCATAGCCCAGAGAGATGGTTTGGATGTGTACAGAGGGGTGAGCAAGGATCCAATCTGGTTCAACTGAAGTCTGGACTGCAGGAGAGGGAATGCAGTGAATGTGAGCAGAGCTGAGCTGGCTTGCAGGGTGGCAGCAGTGAAAGTGCAGCAGCACAGACTTCAGTGGGAGCTGCACTGGCTTGAGAGAGTGCTGAAGAATTCCTTGGGCAGAGAACCTGCACTGTAGCACATGCCCTGACTCCAGCTGGTGTCTGAGCAAGTGAGATTAAAGCTAGTTTACATATGAGGTACAGCGATATCTCTGAGGGTAGAACAGAGATACCCTGAGGATTATCATATTATAAAACTTTCCTGTTATGACTTGTGCTGCTTCATAATGTGGTCCAAAAATAGGGAATCCACGTACCTGCCCTTGATATCTATATTAAGATATAATTTTTGCACATATCTGAACAAGGAATTTGTGAATAATAATGTAGCATTTTAACTTTCACAGGGGTAGAATACCACATAACTGCTGATACTCTTCTGCTACATCACTTTGTGATATGAAGAAGAAAAAATGCATATATATATAATAATATATATCTCTAAAATTCAAAATACAGCCTTTTAATGATCATAGAAAATAATGTACAAAAATATGCAAGATGAATAATGTGTACTTGATTATGTTTTTATGTCTTGTAAGAGATGTCTGAGATAAGTCCTAAGTTCTTCTGAATATTTCTTTTCATTCTAATTAATGTGAGATTTTACTCAATAAAACAAAGATACTGTACCTCTGAATGATCAATTAAAAATATCAGTCTTTTGTCTAACTAAAAAGTGTTCAATAACTTTGCAGTCAAAAGATTCAAAAGTTTTTTTTAATGCTTTTCTCTCTTTTGATGTTCTTTTTGCAGAACAGGGCAAAGTAAATGTTTCCAAATGAAGCTACTTTTATTATCTGCACAAAAAAACCAAGTCTTAGAACTTTTTTTCATTAGTTTTCACTATATTGGATTCACACATTATACAATTCTCAACACTAAAACCAATTCAAAACAAGGAAAAATATTTTTCCATTGCTCCTTCAGCGGTCAGTACTTTGGGTGAAATGTTTGGCTGAAGATTACTTGTATTTACGTTTAATAATGTGAATGTCCACAGCACTGAACACGTTCGTTAGTGTCTAATGCTGGGCACACTAATGGTTTTTTTGCAATACTCATCTCCTGGTAGTGGATATTAATTTGTTTAGTATTTATACATATCAGAATTTGAAACTGAGTGATTTATTGCCTGCAGTGATCATATATTAGAAGTCTAGGTTTTATAAGATTTTGACATGTTGACTTGATGCCACAAGTGCCCTTGCTTTTAGATAGATATTTTTTCCTGAGTTCCTAGTTATTTCAGAACAGAATGTCTGGTGGTTTATGAGATGTGAGTAATTACCTTGCATGGATTATCTGTGCCAACATGAATAAAACAGTCTAGTAATAAAAGCAATGTGCAAAACCAGTTAAAGCTTTATGATTTGGGTACATTTATTAATATGCCATGTGAGCAGCTGACAGCTTTCAGCCATGTACTATCATTAAGAAGGCATACCTAAGCTTGTACTCTCTACTTCAGACCTGAAAATAAAAATTAAAACCATTGGTTTCAACTTTATTGTATATCAGTCTTGAATATTTTATTGACAAAATAATGCTGTTTTAAACAAATATTAGTATGCTTAAAAGATGCAGTCTGCTAACAGTACATGTTGTAACTCAGCAAGACCTGTATAGTTCCAGACCTTATTGTGTCAACAAATACTGTTTATAGTAGCTTTGTAAGGGGTGGGTAAATTCTCTCTTCAGTTACATTGATGCATCTGCAAACAAAGTTTGGCTGCATAAATTCAGGTAGGTGTTCTACTGTTTCTTAGCAAAAGTTACTTAAAATAAACAAGGTGTTTTGAACACCCTCATTGAGCTCTAGTGCCAAGAAATACGTACAAATAAAAGGATGACTTCATATAACAATGTCTTTTACAAAAACAGTCATTTTGTGCATTCCAGTTGCACACCCCTCAGAAATGCAGGCATTTTAGATATACAACTAAGTATATTAAACATAATTAAGAAGTTAGATGATAAATGAACAGACTTGGATTTAGATGCCATTACCAAGTACAGCGTCAGGAATTACACCTTTGTGCATTTTTGATTTTATTTCCCAGCCCCAATTTCTGTTTACAATGTGCATAAGAAATGCAATTGAAATGAATGCCCAGAATGTATGCAGTATTTTATCAGATCAAAATTGCTGTTTTTCAGATTGTCTGTTCTGATCTTTAACCTTTGCACAAGACAGTGCTTCCTAAACTGTGCACTGTGATCCCAGTTGTTGGAACTGGAAGCAATAGAGGCATAAGCAGAGCACCATGCCAGCTGACAGGGTGGAAAAGGGGAATAGAGCAAAGTTCATTAGCAAAGGACATGGTGCAAAATGTGTGACAAATGTTGCATTAAGGGATTCTTAACAGACATTCTTTAAGAGAGATTATTGCTCTGAAGAAAATGGAGATTTGAAAAGTATAGGCTTTGGCATTGTTTCCCCTCCCACCCCAATCATGCATCTTGAATTCAAACAGTTTGTGCTGATTAAGAAAGGAAGGAATGTGTGAATAAGGTTGCTGAAACCATTATTGAATACACAATGAAACGCTTTGTTCTCCCAGGCAAATCGGAGTTATGGATGAGATTCAGACTATATTCAGGCATAAATTCTGTGCTGTGAGCCTCTGAAATATGCCCTTGGATAGCTGTTAAAATACATTTGTTCCTCCTCTTAAGAAGATTACATCAAAAGAAAACAGTAACAAATGTGTGTTGTACTAATAAGGACTGTCAGGCTGAGTCACAAGAATTTTTTCTGTAATAAAGACAAGAAGGATTTTTTTAACAAAGCTAAACTTTTGAACAAAACATTTTTCCTTTAAAAGTTTCCAGATTATAACTGTTAGGGATTAATAAATTAGTATGCACAAGGTATCATTAATAAATCTGTCTCTACTACAAAAGTATTTTCTAATCTTACTACTTAAGAAATTGGATTATTTTCATTTATGACAAAGATGTTATGGAAATTCTTCTGCTTCTACTTAGTTTTACTGTGCATAGTGTTACTGAAAGAGTAGGTACTTATTTTTCTTTTAATCAGAAGATATAGATAAAAATACAATCTTGAATTGAGTGAAGGTGATTTTTCCAGTGCTTGTGGGATGAATGCTGCTTGCTACACTAAAGCCAGAAAACTTGCTGTTCTAGATTGTTTTATTTTCATGGTGCATTAAAGAGGATGTTTTGGATTTTTAGGAGGTTTAACAAATATCTAGAGCCTTAATTAAAGATCTCATTTCAAAACAAAATAATTATTTACAGTGTTTAAATTATTTTAAGATTTAATCATATGTAGACAGGAGAATAATGCTGGGATCAAGGTTTAGTTTCATTTAAAGAAATCTTCATGTTGACTAATGCAAGCATTCCTATATGCATATATAGGACATATATGTGAACTAAAACACTCAGAACTGAGATTCTGATTTCCTTTAAGTGGATGTGTTTCATACCTGCATTATTTGAGCATAAATTGTTGTCATTTATTTATATGTAGCTTAAGAATGATGCACAAATCTGAGTGCACCTTGAGACCTTGTTATCTGTTAGGTATTTTTGCGTTATGAAGTAACAGGAGCACAGGAGATGTGGGAGCAGAAAAAAGGGCACACTTTCCAAAAATCTGGCTTGATATAAAAAATAGGATTTCAGGAATAAAACTTTTATTTGTGCATTATAAACAAAGACCAGGTATTATTTTCACAACAAAATATTCTTCAGCTGTCCCCTGCACAGTCCTTGACAGATTTTCTTCCTGCAAATTTTTCCCTTACTGATGGCAAGGATATTGTCAATGTCCCTGTGATTGATGCACATGCAGAAGCCTGAGCAGAGTTCCTGTTCCTTTCCCAGGCCTGTGAGCTGTGGGGTAAAAGGTGACAGAGTGGGCTCTGCTGCTCACGTGAGTGCAGTCAGCCCACTGCATCCTGCAAACACCAGACTTCCTGAGATTTACTGTGGATGCACAACACAGATGACACTAATTGAAACTTTCTGCTTTATTGCATGTACACTACACGGCATCTACTTGTGGCCAAAAAGTCCTTGCAAGAAATCCAACGTGCCAGCCAGGGATTCTGGTTCTAGCTGTGGCCTCAGAGCACACCTGAATCTGAGCTGCGTGGGTATAAAATTTTGGCAGAGCACAGTTTGCCTTGAAATTGTATTCCCAGTGCCAGCTGCTGCAGCAAAAGGACAACAGGGCTGTTTTGTGGATGGCAATTTTCTGCCATTTTTGAATGTAAAGCAGTTTCTGGAATGGGAGTTTTTCTGAGCTGTTATTCTCCTGTTACTGCATCATGACACCAGTCTGAATTCAAGCTTGCAAGTTTTCAGCTCATTTGGGAAATTTACTTATTCTCCCATTGAAGGACTCCATGTTTTCCACATGTAACTTATTCAGCTTTGTATTAGATATCCTAGAATGGATTGGAAACAATCTGGTGGTGATGGACTGTCAGACTTCTAGGAGAGGAGATAAACCTGAGAAATTAAATTCTCATAGACAAATACAGAATACATTATCCACATTCTATGGACTTACACAGCTGGTGGCTGTTGGAGACTTCATTGACTTCCTAAGGAGTGCCAGAAGCTGCTCTCTGTTTAGAAGTTCTCTGAAAAGAAAGAGTCAGTGTTATTAAAAAGTAGATATTAAATTTTGAGGGTAGTGTATTTCCTTAGGGTCCATATTTGCCTATTTAGTACAACCTCAAACAGTTCTTGCTTCTATGCAATTCTCAAAAAAAAAAAAAAAAAAAAAAAAAAAAAGAACACATAACAGAGGGTTGTTGCTACTCCTCCCTAACTCTGGGTAACAATCCTCCTCATTCCCCTCCAGCTTAGGAATATTCACTGGCACAGAAAGGTATAAATTAATCTCTGTGTGCCAGCTTCAGAGAACCTGGCCACAAATACTTCAGTTGAGATGATTTTGTTCATTTCTTTAAAGGACAGTGAGAAAGATTGTACTTTCTCTGATCTTGTAACTTAAAAAAATATTAATAGAACAATTTTTAAGTCAAAAGATAGTTAAGTAAATGTTTATTTTAGACCTTCATTATTAAGTGCAACTAATTACAAGTGAACAATTACTATCAAAGAGGGCAGATGCAAAAGTAGTAAAATGAGATTAAAATGTCGGAGAGTGAAAATCCAAAGAAAAAGCAGCTTTTAGAATAACAATTAAGCACCCAATCTGTTCTGTGCTGGGTAATTCATTGAGAGTGAATTAATGGTGCAGCATTCAGTAATAGGCCTTGGTAAGGAAATAGGAGCAGTGTATCAGGATATCCTTTTTCCGCCCCCGAGTACCAATACTTTCAATTTTATATACAACGGAAGTAATTCATTGTAGCACAAAGAAGCACAGCTGTGTTTCCTGATGGTCACACATGCAAGAGCTGCTATTGTTTAGCATTTCAGTATGTGCAGTGGAAACTGTCCCACTGCTTGCAATGTTTGATATTCTCAGGGATTTCATTTCCATTAGTAGCTTTTGAATCCATGGTGGATTTTTAATATGCTATTATCTCAGATCCAATCCTGCATCCCTAATCAGGTAATTTTTTGCTGATGCCAGTGAGAGTTAAAATTGTATTAGGTGTGGCTGCCAAATGAGGAGATTTGCAGACACAGGCCAATTTCTCATTGGAAGCAAAGGGAGTCATAGACTATTTTTTGGGATTTGCTTTTAGCTGTATGAGTTTAACTTGTTCAAGTTCCAGTTAATATTCAAGTGCTTTACAGACTAAGAGAGAAAAGCTTCATTGCTATGCCTTTAACTTCATCATATATTTTCAGACATTTTAGCTGAAATACAAGGATATCCTTTTATTATTTTGTAGTCCCATATTGATTTTACTATAATATGAAAAAAGAAGTGAATGAGACTATTTTGCTGCACTCGCTCTTATTTAACAGCAATTTATTCATGTTTAAAGATATGTTTAGACTGAGAAAAAATAAGGAAGTGATGAAATAATTTCATTCATTTCTTTTGTAGAGGATCAGATCTGTTTCATTTTAACAAGCTTGGAGAAACAGAGCATTTTCAGTCTCATAAATATCCATCTTTGTAAATCTCTACAGTACCCACTCCTACAGCTGCCAGAGACACATCCACTTGAATCCTTGCCTCCTGAGCACAAAGCTGTTATACACAGCAAGACAGAAATGTTCTGTATTGATAAGAATTTGCCTTTTTTGACAGCAGGTTTTAAAAACATTTCTGCTTTCAGCAGTGCTCCAGTTTCTGGACAAAGCCTGAGCATCAGGCTTAACAGAGGAACTGTTAATAGAGTGTGGGTTTGGATCTAAGGATTATTCCAACTTGTAAAAGAAACAAATACCTCTTGTAACAAAAGGTGGAGGAACACAAACATTCAGCTTCTCTCTGAGTATAATTCAAACTTCTTTGTAGATCATTTGGCACTACTGACTGATAATTCAGAACATAAATTTTAAAACCAGCACTTCAATTGAAATATTTAATCTTCTCTGAGCAGCTGAAGACTTTTGGGATTTTATGTGCATGCATCTAGGGGAAAACATATTACTAATTCTCCAAACAAACTGATGTGAGTGAAGCACCCTGGTGAAGCCTCTGCTGAGCCTACAAATATTTTCTTTTTCTGTGATACAACATTTAATGCTCTGGTTCTAAGGAAAACAAAGTAATTTGTATTTAAAAGGAGAGTTATCTCAGGGTGTATTACACAACCTGGTGAGAAGACTGCAACAAGGGCTTTGTAAATGTGAATCCATAGAAAAACAAAATCGTACCGCTCAACTAGGCACAGGAAGAAGAAACAGAAAAAGCAGCAGGAAGTTTGGTTCTTGGCTGGGAAGATGTCTCCCAGAGCAGAGTGCTCCCATTACTGCCACCCTTTGCCCCAGCAGGGGCATCAGCTCCCCACAGCCCAGTTCAGTGAGGAATCAGCTCCCACCCTCCCCTGCTGGGGACAGGCACAGCCTTTGTGTCCTCCCTCCCCCACGGCCACCTGCTCAAGGCTGAGGAAGAATCCCCTGCAGAACCCAAGTAACCCCAAACACACCAAGTGCTTGAGCTGTGGGAGCACTCCTGTTCCCTGTGCCCATGCTCTGCACTCTGAGCTGTTACTCCTTGCATTATTGCCACAGTGCTCTCCAATGCTGGCCCAGACTCAGTTCCACACCAGACTGGTTGGGCATGGCTTGCCTCTTTACTACCAGTGATCTACTAGCAAAAAATTTTTAAAAAACACCTTTCTTCACAGATTTGACTCTGCCTTATTGAATTATTTTTGCTTACATTTAAAAAAATGAATAAAATCCATTACTTTTGTAAGTAACAAACAGCTGAATAAATTTATAATCAAAAGAATATGCTTTCAAGTAAAATAGTTCTGCAAAAGAGACAAAGCCAAATTCATGTCATATTAAGTGAAATAATTGTGTCCCTGGCTGAAGGAAAATATTCTTTTAATATGCAACATGAATATTTATTTTTGTAGCAGTTACAGAGAAATACTCATCTAATTGCAAACAGTTCTCAAATGTATATTTGGACCACAGATTTAAGACATCTGAATTCCAGAGACTGAAGGGAAGAAGGATCTGCAAAGATCAAGTCCTATCACATGGCTGACCTTCTCCCTATATATACCTCTTTGTTCTTTTGATATTCACGTTTGCAGTTCCCTAGTGATTCCAAGAACTAATAAGAAATTCCTGGAGAGGAAATAACAAAGAAAGCAGCTGGAAGACAATCCTTTTATTATTTTTTTTTAAAATACAGCTGTCTTCATCATGACAGTCAGTTTTGAACTGCTTCTTTTATATCACATGTTCGACTTCCATATCTCATCTTGGCCAAATGTCAAATAAACTTATGTTTATTTCCAGGTTTTCAGACTTCAGTGTTTTTTGAGTGTGACTCAATTAACAAAATAAACACTTTGTGTTACTGAACCTGGTGTGTCTGAGTTTTTGCAGATTCCTAAAATCCTTACCAGGTAAGACTGCTGCTGCTAACTAGCTTGCTGGAGCCCTGTGTCTTTCTGAGAACTCATCAACTAAAGTGTTCACTTTCTGGTTTAAAAAGGTCTCTCTACCTATCCTGGTAGAGATATTTGAAACCTAAGTACTGCACTGTTTTGAAAGACATCAGTATTTTCTATGTGATGTTTAATCAGACATCCATCACAATCTAAATACTTTCTAAGGTCATCATGATTCATCACTTTAAATTAAGGTGCAGTCTGGTCTCCTGCGGTCCTAATATCATTATAATGTAGGTTATTTTTGCCAACTATATTTTGTGACTAAGACAAGGAGCTAATAGCACTCAGTTATGCAGAGATGGGCACTACTTGCCGTAGCAATACAAACTTCATCCTCAGCAACACTGTTCCTGACCTGACAGGGACTTGTGGGTTTCTTCAATGCCCAAGTGCCTTGAAAAGTACTGGCTGAGACAGCAATTTCTGCAATGCACAAATTTACACACCAGGAACTGGATGAAAAGAGTTGATCCATTTCACAAGAAGGGTTAAATCCATTTCAAGGCTAGTGGCTGTTGCTAAGTTCATGCATCCTGGATTGGAATCAATATCTAACATCTGACAAGCACTGGGCTGTATTAGCACACATGATTACTGAAGGGATGCTAGCACTAACAGCTTTGGATCTGTTTGGGAGCACACACACGCATGTTGCATTCTTCTTCCATATTGAGTGTCTCTTCTGCTGCTATAATTTCATTGTACACAGAGTGGAAGAACAGCAGACTCATATTTTCCTTTGAAATTATAAACATAAGCATAGGAGTTCTGTATTGCTTGGCATGGAAGCTGTGATTTTGTCTTTCTTGCAGGCTGGCTTTGTTTTGGACACTGACAGATTTTTCTGCATGATGTTGATTGGAAAAAATTTTCTAAAAGTCTAGTAAGACAAGATCTGCACTTTTAAATGCCTATCACCATGGTATCTGGCCACATAAAATTATTAGGTGTGCCTTTACCTGCCTACATTTTAAAGGAATCTGTGAAGGTGACAGGTTTGAAGTTATACTTCCTCTTTTGCTTTGCTGTGTAGGATAATACAGAAGTGAAGCACTCATCTAACAATCTGTAGGTAGAACACATGTGAGCCAGAATGCAAAGCCAGTGCTCTCATCTTACATTCAGAGGTGACAGCTCTGGAGTACACAACATTTACAAGTCTTATCTGATATTAGCATGCAAAAACGGAGCTGCACTGTGGAGAGGTCAACAAAATAAGCAAGCCCATGTTTCCCACAATATATGCACATGTGGCTATTTGGCACCAATAAGCCAGATTGCTTCCCAGCTGGTTATTCTCTGCATCCAGTTTATCTGGGCAGCCATCTCCACACCAGCAATTACTGGTGTGTCCTGAAGGCCTAAAGAGTGTTTTGGTGTGCAGCAAAGGGAAACTGCTGAATAGGTCTGTACGATCCATGTGATCTTCATTTCCCCTGTAGCTGGCTTTGAGTGCAAAGTTCTTGGTGCAGAGTAACCAAGTGACAGGACAGGTGAGAACAAGGGGACATCAGCAGCACAACTGCTGTCACACTGTGGAGTGAAGGATTAAAACCAGCAGCCCAGGTGGGAGCTGTGCTGCCTCCCCTGCAGCTCTGTCACTGCAGCTCTGGAGAGCTCACTTGAAGGCAGACAGACAAATTATTGCTTTTCCAATTTGTCCTAATGATAAGGAGCTTTGAAATACAATGCAAATCATGGCCTTCAGCATCCTTATCGGCAAGCAGAGCAGCTCATTGTAGAAGTTATAATGTATTCCAATCTAACTAACTGGGCATATGTATTTAGATACAGTAAATGGAAAAAGCAAACAATGCTGTCCTTTGCAATAGAACTCTATCCCTCCTGCGGCACTGCAGCGTCAGCCTTCTCACAACTATTCTTCCTCGGAGCTGAAAGGCCCAGACGAGTCCCTCATCTTCCTCTGCGCCGCTGCCACCGCTGGCTGCCCGCTGCCCTGCCCAGCCCCAGGCAGCCCTGCTGAGCCCCCATCAGGGGTGTCACCGTGACCCTGCACCCACACCCCCATCAGGGGTGTCACTGCCACCCTGCACCCACACCCCCATCAGGGCTGTCACCGTGACCCTGCACCCACACCCCCATCAGGGGTGTCACCGTGACCCTGCACCCACACCCCCCATCAGGGGTGTCACTGTGACCCTGCACCCACACCCCCCATCAGGGGTGTCACCGTGACCCTGCACCCACACCCCCCATCAGGGGTGTCACTGTGACCCTGCACCCACACCCCCCATCAGGGGTGTCACCGTGACCCTGCACCCACACCCCCCATCAGGGGTGTCTGCCACCCTGCACCCACACCCCCCATCAGGGGTGTCACCGTGACCCTGCACCCACACCCCCCATCAGGGGTGTCACTGTGACCCTGCACCCACACCCCCCATCAGGGGTGTCACCGTGACCCTGCACCCACACCCCCCATCAGGGGTGTCACCGTGACCCTGCACCCACACCCCCCATCAGGGGTGTCACCGTGACCCTGCACCCACACCCCCCATCAGGGGTGTCACTGTGACCCTGCACCCACACCCCCCATCAGGGGTGTCACCGTGACCCTGCACCCACACCCCCCGTGAATCCCGGCGGCTCGGCCGCTCTGCACCGCCCCAACCCCGCCAGCATCGGCACGGAGCCTCCCGGCCCCGCAGCCAAATCCAGCCCCAGCTGCTTTTCTCGTGTCTCGACCCTCTTCAAGGCCGGCGGTGCTTCCATGACACCAGCTTGGTAACTTTTCCCCTCACAGCTTCCTGCCCTTTCCTACAGGAGCTTCTTCCCGGGGAAAGCGCTGCTGGGCCGGCGGGGCTGGATAACGCCGGGGCCCGGGCGCCCAGCGACAAGCCGGCCCAGGCTGCGGCCCGCGGAGGGGCTCCCGGGGAGGCAAAGCAGGCCCGGCTGGTTCCTCCCGGCCAACTTTTCTCGCCGGGGAGCCCCGCCAGCCCTCCCGCCCACGGCACGTGCTGACGGACGGGCGGGGGCGGCGGGCGCGCTCCCGCCTCCCCGCGGGCCCCCGCCGCGCGCGCGCCCGGCTGCAGTGATTGGAATCCGGCTCGTTCCCGCCCCGCCCCGCAGGGACGCGCCGGGAGCGCCTGCCGGGACACGGAGCCTGCGCCGAGCCCGCGCCGCGCCGTCCCGCCCTCCCCCGCCCGACACGCACCCGCCTTCGCCCCCGTCTCAGCGGAGCCGTCGGGGCCCCGGGAACGGCCCGCGGAGCGCGGCGGGGAGCGGGCCCCCTCCCCCTTCGCCTGCCGTCGCCGCGCCGAGGATGAGGAGCCCCCACCGCCGGTGAGTGAGGGACGCGCCGCGGAGGCCTCGGCCGGGCGGGGACAGCCGGGGCGCCCCGGGCAGCGCCGCTCCTGCACCGCTCCCTCTGCGGCCGGGGGGACGCGGGGCGCTCCCGCCGCGGCCGTGCCCCTTCCCCGCCGTCGGGCGGCCCGGCCTGGGCGGTGTCCGGCGGGGTCCGCGGCGGCCCCGGGCAGCGCCGTCGAAGGTGGGCTCCGGCGGCGGCCCGCCCGGCCCGGCCTGGCTGCTCGGGGCCCCGGGAGCGCCCCCGGGCCGGCAGCCCTGCCCCGCCGCGGCGCTGGGGGCGCTGCCCGCCGGGCCGGGCCGGGCCGGGCCGGGTGGGCGCCGCGGGGGCTGCGCGGGGCCCGCGGGTCCCTGCGTGGGCAGGGCCGGCCGTGCGCTCCCTCCCTCCCTCCTGCCCTCCCTCCCCAGTGTTGTAATGCCGGGCCCGGTGCCGAGCGGCCCCAGCCCGAGCGAGCGGCAGCGCCCGTCGTCGTGGGAAGGGTACGAGGAATAAGGTGCTTCGCCTTCCTTTTGTGCGAGCTTAGAACAAAGCTGGACGCCGGCTTTCCAAATCGGTTTTTGCCGTTCAGCGACGTCAGACAAAACAAAATTGAAGAAATAGTAACCCCAAATAATCGCTCGTACCTTAGTAGCGAATGATTGTGCTGTTGAGGGCCGATTATGTACGCGGTTTTCATAACTGATTACAAAATCTATTGAACAGGGTTCAAAAGCACAAATGGCTTTTTACCACCTTTCAATCAACCACACTCCGATGTTGTTTTGGTAAAATTAAGAGTGAATTCAGCAGCAGGGAATGGTAGTAAGCTGTGGCATTTCCTTTCAGCAGTTGCCTGTTACTTTGTGTCAAGTTGTATGACGATTTTTCCCAGTGTAAATTGATTGCCCTCCGAATTTACGTATTTTGTTCTCTGCTTAGAAGTAATTATCTTTAAATTCTTTTATCAAGTTAGCATGCTAGGGATTGTTCAGGCCTGTTACCTGCAGGGATAGAGAAGCTGCTTTTGTAGATAAGGAAGACTCCCAAATTGAAAGGTTTGTTTGATTTTTAGTAGAACCTAATCCTGGAATAAAAAAGTTAACAAACATAAGAGCAATTCATAGTCAGATAATTTACCCAGTCTACAGTTAGAAATACTCCATGTTGTGGCATTTGTAGCAGCCTGGATAAAACTCTTGCTGACAATGTATTTGCCTTCGGTCTCGTTATTTTATAGCTTTTCTTAAGTTGTTCACCACATTTTCTACGGGGTGTGTGCGAGGGGCTGTGTATTTTATATGTATTTATGTAGACAAGTATAATCTGATAGTCACTGAGATGTGGTTTGAAATGTTATGAAGGGTCTTCTCATGCACCTGCAAGATTCAGCTGCCAGTCCTTAGTATGTCCTGCTGGCTGATCTCTTCCAGCAACAGAGAGTTTATGTGGCTGGATCTGAATTATTTTCTTCCCCTAATTGTGAAGTAATTTCGTTTTGAAAGGGACCTCTGGATGTTATCTGTTTGAGCCTTTGTTCAAGTTAGAGCAGAAACTGCAAGCCTGAAATAGCATGTTACTTGGAATTCACTGATTGAAAGACATGTTTACTAAAACAGTTTGTAGCTAGAGCATAGACTTTCTTAAAGCCAGTGTGTGGGACCCCAAATCCTAATGTTTTGGACACTGCTCTGCAAGATCGTGAGAATTGTTATGCATATCAAAAATACTGAGTATGGTGGAGTGTATAAATGATATGTGAGTTTTTCGGGATACCAGGTCTGACATGCAGAGCTGCAGTAGCTTCTTTGGTCAATTGCTGGAAAACACAGATGAATGAAAGAGACCAATCAGTGTGTGACAGAGAAACTTACAAATTTTGTTTGTCCTTGTTTATTTCAAGCATCAGTTGGAGATTTGTCCTGTCTGGATACCTGGGAAAGTATTTCTTGCTTCCTCACTAAAGTGAGGGCATATTTTCAGTGCCTGGGATTTCTGTCATCTGTAAATAAATGACAGAAGGAACTCAGCAATTTAAAAGTATATCTCATCAGAGTCATATGTGGGTACAGATGGAGTACTTGAAGCCTTGTTTCCTTTGCTAGTATTCCCAAAATGCAGGACTTGGAGGCAGGCACAGAGTGTGCCTCACAAGACGTTTTTCCTTTCACTGCTGCTTTAGTGGTTCCAGTTTTTCCTTTCTTGGACAGGACCTGCAGAACCCTCTGTAGCTGTCCCACCACAGCCGTGCTGATGGTCCCCAGTTGCTGTGGTCGCTTTTGTGCCCTCCAGGATGGTCAGTGCTTTAAGGGGAAGCCTGATTTCTTTCTGCCTTGTTTTCTTGCAATCTGCTTAAGGTTCCTGTGAAAGTGTTGAGGGTTCACTGCTCTCTGGCAGCAAGTAGTTACTCTTTAAAGTGTTTAAAACTGACAATGAATGTAAAACTTGACCTGCTACATAGTGTCCTTTAAGAATAACAAGGAGACCATGCTGGGTGATACTTGGAACTGGGTAAAAGTTTGAAACAGTCGCCTCATTTTTCTTAAGTACAGAAAATATAATTTTAGCAATCTCGGTGCTCTTATTGAGAAGATCTATGGAATAGCTGTTCTGTGAGGGATTTAGTCCAGAAACATCTATGTAGTACATTTGATTTGCAGTGTGTAAATCCCAGGAGCTTTAGCTTGATAAAACACACAGCTAGCCTACCACTGACCAGGAAATCAGGGGACAAGCTGCCAACTTGCCAGGATGGACTTTGTTAAGAACTGGCTTCCCAGGACTGTGCTGGGTGTATTTACAGAGCATATTAGGTGTATTTCACGTTCATTTCCCTCCAAAGTAAAACAAAGCAATTATGCCACTAGTCTGCAATATATATTTTGAAATTCACTGTAGCAGGTTGGACACTGAAGCATTTTAGGATGACATATTTTTGATATATTGAGAAGACCAAGAACTTCATTCATCTTGTGGTAGTGCAAAACCCTTGCATGGGTTTCTGGTTATGACCCCATTGTTTCAGCTGTACACAAACAGTGTGAGAAATACAGTCACTCTGTTTGAGATTTATAATCCAGAGAGGTTTTTTCTTGCCATTTTTCTAAAGGGTGCCTTGTAGCTGCCATCCCATTTCATTTGAATTCTGGCTGCTACGGTTAGGTTCAGTACTGTTTAATGACGGTCTGGTTAGCAAAATTCAAAACAAGAGTTAGGGTAGGAAAATAAACTCTGGTTCACAACTGTGATAATATGCATAGGCTGTATAAGCAGGAGGAAAGGAAAAGCCACAGGAAAGCCTTATTGAAGGTCAGGTGTGTCACCAGTGTGACACCTGTAGTTACAGTGAAGGTGATTGCCCTGATAGAGCTGTCCCTGCCACCACCAAGCTGTCACCAGCGCCTCTTCGTGGGGGAGGGGGAAGTGCTCTGAGTATCATGAAGGTGTGAACTTTGAATGTTTTAAAATATTTTGATTAGACAAAAATCTGTGTAGTAACAATTCACAGAATGTGTACCTGCAACATGCAGCTAAATGCTCTTACATGGAGGGAGTCCCTGTTAAGATCTATGTATTGTAAGATCTATGTATTAGATAAGTGGGTCCTTATGGAGAGAGTCCCTGTAAGATCTGTGTGGGTCCAAGTTGCTCCAAACGAGCTACAGCTGCAAAGTCCTTGGTTGGGCAGCAGCTGTAGCTCGTGAAGGTAACTGGAATAAATAGGGTGGGTCGAGAGCCCAGGAGGAGCTCTTGGGAAGGCATGAAGGACTGTGCTGCAGAGAAGAACAGCTTGGTACAGTATGGGACTTGAGAAATATGAATACAACACTCTTATTCTTGTTTTTTCCTCAAAATAGGATTTCCCAAAATACAGAGGAAAATGTAGTGCATTTAAATGTAATTCATGTGTCATGAGTTGGTTTGCATTAAAAGGGGAAAATATTAGTGTTATTAACTCAGCTCTGCAGTATTGCAGCTTAATTTGCACCATGTATCATAACAGCAGCAATGCTTGTTACAAAAATTTGATAGCACGTAAATTTTTGCAGTGTGCTTTCAGTCAACTTTATTAGATTAAAATGTGGAAGCAACTAGCAATTCTTTGTGTCTATATTCCCTGAGTTCACCATCTTAAGGAGAAAACTGTCAGTACTGCCATGCTTTGGTTGATAAATACAAGCAGATGTAGCAGGGATAAGTTAGAGAAATATCAAAGTCTCACAAGATACATACCAGGAAATAGATCTGGTTTGTGGAAGCGATTTCCTTTTCACTGCTGCAGCCATTGAAATGATTTAAATTTGCCTTTCTTTTCTTGTTATTAAAAAAAAAAATCCCACCTAGAACCATTTGTAGGCCTTTGTACTTCCTCTGTGAGAGCCGGATCCCAAATTTGACTGGAAATCAGTGGGCAGAGCTCAAATGACTTTGGAGGACTGAAGTCATCAGAGATTTCACTTATGCAGAGAATCGATACTCTGCTCATGAGATTTGTGCAAATGAGCACATTGTGTGCTCAGAGTCAGAACATCAGGGATATGA